TTCATATGATATGATACCAATTGTATATTCATATAAACTGTATTTATCGTAGATATCAATTTAGCTGCATTCCTTTTGTAACTTCCAAATAATGCACACTTTGTCTTCAACACAGAAGCTCTACATTTATAGCTTGCCATGTGGATGAATTTTCGACCCAGAAACACAGTGAGTGACCAAGAATATGTGAGAGTTTTTATCATGTGGAAAAGATAAAAAAAAGGAAGATAATTTCATCATCTGTATACCATCCAATATCCAGAGTCAACACAATCATTCTCCCAAGATATACATGGTTGCAACACAAAGATTCCTTTACAAAGAATATCCATTGTGTTGCTTAACCAGTTAACTGTGATTGACGAGTATACTCATCATGGAGAAGCGGCTTGATTTTGTGTATTGACGAGTATACTCGTCATGCGTATAATGAAATGGAGAGGGAATAAGAGGGAGGTTTATTTCGTAAGTACTGTACATAATGTAACGTAATAGAAACAGAGAAAAGAAAAATAATAACAAAGAAACCGGAGCTAGTGATTGATTATAGGAAAATGGGTGGAGTGGATTATCATAGCGATGGAATTATCATAGCGTACTCCACAGCAAGAAAACGACTCAAAAAGTACTACAAAAATATATTTCTCCATTTTTTAGACATTATGTGTTTGAATGCATTCATATTATACAAAAAAAAAAAAAAAAAAAAAAAAAGGGAACATTATCGCGTATCAGTTTTTTGCTCAAATTAATTGAAGACACTTTTGCGACGTATCCAATTGAAAGAAATAAATTGACACAAACGGCCATTTAGACCTAATACAAGCCAATTGGGCAGGTATCATGTTCCATATTATATACCCGGAACATCGAAAAAAAAAAAAAAACAACCCTATGCGAAGGTGTTTGCATTGCTACAAACGTAAGATCAGGAAGGAATCGCATTACTGGTGTTTGATTTGCAAAGTCCCATTATGAACAGTACTCAGTTTCGCTGAATATCACTCCACAGCAGGAATTTAAATTCTGACTTTTATATGTATAATATTTAATTTACTGCTTTTTAGTTTAATATGTATGTAATGTATGCCTATGTTAACCAAGTAAGTAAATATTGGTAATAAAATTTTCAATTTTATAAAATAAACCCATCTTTTTCATCAAATATCTTACCAGCACAACTTACTCTGTGATTGAATATACTCATCATGGCTCGATTCTGGAGACACAAAATGGTGTGCACTCTTAAGCGATGGCACCACAGTTAACTGGTTAAGGATACAAAACCTGGTTGCAACAAAAAGATTCCTTTATAAACAATACCTATCATGTTGCTTAAGGATGCAAAACTCTAATTGGATTGGGAATACGGCAAAGCACACTAGGGCTATCTGCCTAAGGGAAGGATGCCTTCGTGGAGGACTTTCTAAGAGCAACTGGCTCGTATATATGTTACACATGGGGAAAAACCACGAAAACGCCCATGCAGCCAGCCCGTTCGTGGGATTAGAACTTCGGACCGAACTACCAGAGTTCAGCCAATTTACCACTCGGCTGCTGGTGGGCCTCCAAAACCCTTATTGGAAGGGCAGAAGAGATCATTTTTATTTTAAAAAAATAAACCAATAAAGATTTTTAAAAAATTTCTAAAAGAAAAGGGAAACTCATGAGATTCATTTCCTCATTCCTTGAGCAGTGAAAATTTCAAAATCTCTATCACAGCATCAGACATGAATAGTGTTCTGTCCAGCAACTCATCAAAGAATTTGAATAGAATCAGAGAATTCACTCATGTTTTTTTTTTTTTTTTTTTCTTAAATTATCATGTATGTGGATGGTGTCCTCAAAAATGCCTATTCTATCATCATTCTCCTACAGATAGGTCTTGCACAGCCTTAATTTAGAACACCGAGAAAAGTGAGAGCAGAGATAAAAGAAAAACAATATAAAAGTGTTTTCTTTTATAGAAAGAATGTGGATCATAATATCCTAAATGTGAATGATTTTAATGGCTACTATTGTTTTTAATGAAGTCCAGGAAAAAATATGAAAAATGTAAAACAAATTCAGTCGAAGATATCCATACAGTTTATTATAATTTCCAGCCTCTTGGAGGTTCATTCTAACATCATAAAATAACATCAAGAACTGAACAGAGCCAAAAGGCTCATTCATTACATCTGGGGGTTTGTTACGGTGTGTTTGACCACAAGTTTGGCCTGCTGTATGGATAAATTTCTACTTAATTAAAAAAGAAAAGTATAGAAAGGAAACAAAAATTGTACTTTTTCCCTCTACCTTTTATACCTATATGCATAAATCCCATAAAAATTCTTTGACTGCTAATAAAAACCCTCACAAACAACTCACAGCAGATAGTGCTTATGCGATTTTGCTGTAATCTCAATATATTTCATTAATTTCCCCATTAGTAGTGTCCTCAGTACTTCATTTCTATACACTTACGAAACTTAACATATTACCGAGCTTTTTGTATTGAATTATTCCCTATAATAAAAATAACAATGAAAGATTTTGATAAGCTATTTTTCATAACATTCATAAGATTGTGATCATCAATACCATAGGACGGTGATCATCAATACCAAATACAAAGAACTTTTTTTTTTTTTTTTCCCTTTCCAAATTTGGATTGTAACTCATCTTAGATAAGGAAAATGAAAATTTTAACACTTTCTTCTTACCCCTCTAAAGACCCCAGTTTAACTAATCAGTTCATATAAATGAAATTATGACTAAAATATTAGTTTCTTTAAAAGAGTTGTAATATATATCTTTTCCATATTTATAGCCAGTAGCTGAAGCCCAATTCATAATTATCACAGTGCTCCAAAAGTGCTTGCACTTAAAACAATGCAGCACACAACTTCAATAACTTTCATAGACTGTTAACAAGAGAATTAACAAATGACTTGAACTTTTGACACAGATTGTAAAGCACTGTACAGAGCTCCAGAGAGGGGGAAAAAAATAAAGCACTCTTCAATGCATTTTATCAATCAAAATAATATTCAGGTTTTTAGTTATAAGTGATTTACAAGTAGTTATAGGTTCAGAGCAATTTGTGTTAAGTGTTTGATCATTTTATCCTTATTAAAATCTAAGTATATTTTTTTTTCCTGGAAAAAAATTCTTTAGCTGCCATTCTGAATCTACAAGGAAAATCCATAAAGCCAAAACTGTTTGGTAAAAATAACAATAACAAAAAGTTATTGTTTGAAAAATCTGGTCTTGGTCTGTTATTCCACATAGGTGCCCCTGGCAATGAATGACTAATTGTACTAAAGCTTCTGCATAACTTTGTCAAAACCTTTACTACTAGCCAAAAACAATGAATTCATACAACTAGCATTTGCAGGAAAATTCTGGATAGCTCTCTAACAAAGTGTTCTTCACCAAAATAATGATCATCATCCATGACAACACATGAATGCAGTATTTGTTCCAGTAAAAAGTTCAAGTTTGAGAGTATCCTGCCTAGTCTTTAGTTGAATCTCATCCACAGCAATTTACATCTTTTCATAAATTAAAGCAGTTCACTAACAATGAAAAGCTCCAGCAAATAGTAACTGCATTTCTCGATGGACCAGCAACAGAAGCGTATTGTGAGGGTATACTAAAATGTTCAAGTACTTAAATGTTATGAATACCTATGTGAAGTAATAACCCACTGTATGTATACACTTAAAAAATTAAAGGATTTATCTAACAATGTTAACTGCACTTTTAATTTATTAGCAGACAGGTAAATAGTTTCTGGATGTAACTGTACATACATATATACATATGCTACACACATTTTCCCTTGTTTTATCTAAACTTTAGGTATATGAAAGTTCTCAATTCCTTTAGTTATACACATGATATTGAAGCAGACTAAACAAGTATATACAATAGGTTCTTTATTTCAAGAAGATCAGTTGTTTATATAAGAAAAGTGAACATTTTAATACGCTTCGCTTAAAATTACTTAAAATATTCTCTTAAACAGTATAATGCTTAATATATATTTTCTCTGTACATTAAAAAGGCATGCTTCAATATTAAGAATAAAATATTTTAATTAAAAAAATATAGTCCCATGTACATTCTCAGCATGTTTTAGAATTAGCTTAGAATAATATTTTTTATTTGATTTAGCTTAGAATAATATTTACATCTTGTCCTAATATACAGAACAGAAAGAATTATGTGTTTTTCTCAGTTATTTAAGTAATATTATTGTTTATATATACTATAATAATAATTATTAGGTTACTGTTGTTTCTGGAAGTGTAAAACAAAAGATTTTCCTTAAATACAGTAAGTAGTTGTACTTAACCAACGAACTCATATACATTAACATTTTAACAAATGACTACATATGGTATGAAATGAATAAAGAAAAACCAATGGAAAATGTAATGAAAAACTTATGTACATAAGTGACTATGAAAAGAAATAATATGATGGAGTAACAGATTTCTGTTAAAAATGATAAGATGGATGGTAATATGAGTGAAAACATGAAAATATCTTTTAAACAGAAGCACATCAAATTTCTTTCATGAACCTACATTCCAAATATTTTCCTTTGTATGCTGTATCTGCATTTGAAATGCCTAATATTTAAAACTACTGCCAATTACTAGTATAATTTTTTTTTAAGTACATTTCAGAATTTAACAGTATTTACAATAAATTATGCAAAATATTTTAACTTTTAGCATAAAAATGAAAAATATGTATACAGAAAATTGCTATCACACACAAGTTTAATATTTTAAAACTTTTCAGTATTCTCACAGTTCCCAGTTTTTTTAGGGAAGGTTACATAAAGCCATGTATTCTTTCTTGCATGATTCAAACTTTGGTATTTGTATGAAATGTACACACACAAGTGTAGACAAGGTTCAGAAATATTATAATATTAAAAAATTAATTAGCATCACGTCATTCTGAGATCAAAGCTGAGTTATGTTTTTATGAAATGCAGAAGATTTTCTTTTTTTTTTTTTTTTGCAAACATTCTGAAAGTATTTCAGTATGAACAGAATTAAAAGAAAATATTGTGCAACTGATCAGCTTCATACACACTACTGTTAGTCTTGTGTAGCACCATATCAACACATAAAGCATTTTTGCTATATATGTATACCTTGCTCAGTGTTAAAAAGAGAAAAGTAAAACAGAATCAGGTGCAATGAATACAAGAGCTAAAAAACACTGTTTCTATTCCTCTCAAGCTAAAACACCTGAAATTCTAATCAACAGGAGCATTAAATTTTTGTGCTATAGATGCATGCTAAAAATCAAAATTTTTCATTAGGGGGGGGAAAAACAAAAATGAATTTAAAATTGCAAGTTATTTTTAAACATAGCATATGTAAATCAGATGCAAGTAACTAGTTTTACATATTTTGCATCTCGCATAATATTAAATGAAAAATGGCTTTTGAAAGTTGCATAACCTATGATAATTCAGAAATGTATGCAAATTATGAAATAAATTAATCAAAGTTTCAAAGGACTAAAAACTTACCAGTTTGAAATAAAAAATATATGAGTTTAAGTTACCAAACTGAAATCTCCATATAATAAATATTAACTAAAATATAGCAACTAGAAGTATAAAATACAGTAACTTCATAACTATAATTTTAGACTGCAAAAGATGAGTTTCCACAACTAAAACAGTGCAGAATTTTTTAAGTAAGATTGCACAGAAACATACAGATTGCACTGGAAAAGTGAAAACATTGGAAGAATGTATCTGAAAACAGCAGATATACGTTTATACAATACATTCATAAATACAACAGAAATATATATAGAACCATATAAAGTTAGCTATTTTAAGAAAATTTTATTAGAATAATTGCTATTGTAACAAAAATATCTTCTTCCCTCCCTTAAGTCAATACAGAGAATATCCAAAGTAACAGAAGTAGTTTCAAAATGGATGCAATTATGTTTATCTTGAAAACAAATACATTTTTCTAAGATTTAAAAATATACTAGTAAGAATATCAGTATTAAATAAAAATTTTTACACTTTAATTTCCAAAGTGATGTAATTCCTCTCTTCTTTCCCTGAGATACATTATCCTTCTTTAGTATACTATAAATATTTTTATAAATATACGTCGTGTAACATTTCCCTCTTTACAAATGGATGGGTTTAATCTCTGGACTAGATATGGAAAGGCAAGTTAATAAGTGGCAAATGAAATAATCAGTAATTGCAAAGAAGTGGCACATTACTAAGTGCAAACTTCACATAAAAACAAATTAAAAGAATATTATCATTAATCTGAATAATGAGTACCAGTAAAATAGTAACAAAAGAATAAGCCTTACTTAAATCACTATGTATAGCATATTGACTAGTTATTTTAATGAGTAATGTTCTTAACAACAACATGTTTAAAAAATAATGGGCATTGTTCATATAGAAGTGTAACTAAAAAACCAGAAGAAAGGCTGATAGCTTGGACACTAAAAGTCACATTTATCAGTATAAGCACGTTTTTTAGTAAGCTCATTTGCAATAAAATTATTTCAACCATACAATCTTATAATTATTGACATTATAGCCAATATTATGCAAATATAGTTCAATTTTCCTTTTCTTGTATTATTAATATAAGACGATGTATTCTTATTGACACTGAAAGCAATACATTGCCAGTCAAGGAAGCCAAAAAATTCAATAAAAGCCTCAAATAGACTAAAAAAAAAATCCACACATTTTTTATACACATGCTTACATATGGTTAATTTTAATTTTTATGGTATATGCTATTCAGTAAACAAACATACTTTTTAAAAAACTACATACACCATTTTTCTTTTCAGATCTACTCGTGATTTTTGACAATTCTGTATGAATTCTTTTAAAGTTTAAGTAACTTTGACAGCAACTGCAACCAATGAAATTACAATCAATGTTGCCTCCAATTTTTCTTACAGAAGCTTTTCCTTCCCTTAAAGCAGAAAATATAGTCGTGTAGTGCATTAATTGAATCATCATAGGTGTCTTGTATTTGATCTCTCATTATGTGCTTGAGGAATAAAAGCACCTGCGCAAGTTCACAAAAATCTCATGCAGCTGAGAAGCAACACTGGTTATCACACATGTATTTACAATTAAATTTAAGTAACTCAAAATCTTCTTGAATATGCAAAAGTTAATTCACACAAAAGAAATACAAAACTAGAGCTTAATAAGAACAGTTGATCCAACTGTTATACACATATATTTATATGCGTATAACAGTTCAAAAGCTACAATTTTTATTACAATTAAAAACAGCTCAAATGCCTCAAAGAGTTGTCAAAATGTGTGCATCACAAGAACAAGAGAGAATATTATCAATTTTAATAATTCATTAATCAGCCTTGCAATTTTATATAGTAGTTACTGACTGGTATTTTCCCAATTTTAGAAAAGATATTTCGTTTACATATGAACAATAAATTTACCAATTCTAATCCAAAATATTAACTATAATGTACTAACCACAGATACTAAATTATTAACAATATTTAACAAAGTTACAAATATTTTTATATTGTTTGGCAGAAAACGAAAGCGCATAAAAAATTCAGATAGTAAAAGGTTAAAAAGTTCAATGAAAAACTGATTTTTTAAATTAACATTAAAGACATAATCAAACATGTAAAATGAAATCACTATCACTGTGACACACTGCATTCTAGAAAATATAAATATGGTTCTAGGATGACACATAAAATAACATACAAAAAGCTTTAAAAGTAAACAAAATTATTTAAAATTTTCATAACACAATATTAGTGTCTCAACACTTGTATGATAATATAAAATTTTCTAAAAGGTTAACAACTATAGTCATATTTTAATAAAATACAGTAATTATGTTTTGATGAAAAAAATTAAAATTAACAAGGAAAGAACAGGAAATGGCTGCCAGTGAACTTATCTACATTTAAATGCATATGCGTAGAGAAACATGTAAACAAGTCATTATGAACTTCAAAATATCTGAGTAACTGAAAAGACAATTTCTAATATTTCAGCATTTCCAAACAAATTAACAGTATATTAACTTGAAAAAAATACAGTTATTGCACTCTAAACATAGAAAGCATTTTTCAGTTTCTGCTTGTCAAACGTGGTGAAAAATAAGAAAACTCTACATAACTACAACATTTACACATGATATTATTAACAGGAATGCTAGAATAAACTATGCTACTATGCTAATCATAGTAAGCATAGTAGGCAGTCTGAAAATTTTCAGTGGGTCACTCATGTCAATATTTTTAAGCTAAAAAAAAAAAAAAAAACTATCACACAATCGTGTCATGTGCAACTTGTAATCTCAGTAATGCTTCTGTTAATCGCTTATTTTCTTGCTTCATGACTGACAATTCTGCTGACAACCTTATTTCATTAGCTTTCAGTCTTTTCATCTCCATTTGACACACCTGCAAGAAAATTACATTCATGCCCATTATAAACATATGATGTTTATTATATGTTACATACTGGTGATTCTAAGATACAAGAATAATTTGACTGAATTGGATAAAATTATGACAAAGTATGATAAGACTATCTGCCTAGATAAAAAAAAATTTTAAGTGGCTAGCCAGCCTATCCATTAACCACCAGCTATCTCATAAATATAAAATTCATAACGTTCATGTGGCTTTGTCTGTCCCATCATGATGCTTATTAGCACAAATATTTTAATGTTTAACAGTGTTAACCAGAATCAATATACTTGTTACGTGTATCGTAATACTGTGATAATATATTTATTATTGTTTATCTAATATACTTTTATAAGAAACGTTTACTGTTAATATACTGACTAAAACAGCTGGATAGGTGTTCCAAAGGATTTTCCAATGTGTAATATGAATACGAACCACTTCCTCTTGGAAATTCCTTTGCAGGGATATCCCTTCCCTTAAGCAGTCCATGTATGCTTTTCCACAATTAGATAGTCCATCTATGCTTTTCCACAATTTTATAAACATTCTATATAACAAAATGTAAATGTAACATATGGAAATTTTCGTATTAACACTATATAATCACAGGCTTTAAGTGACTAGCTTATATTTTCTAGTTGCTATTTCTTTTCCTCAACATCATAAAGGGCTGGTCTTCTAGTCCAAAGGAAATAATTTTGCACTAGAAAAAAGTTCAACAACAGCAACATATTTTTTGATTGAATTTTATTGTTTAGATTTTAGTGATTGTTACCTGCACACAAACAGAAAAGTGGCAAACTATTTATTTATTTATTTGGGACACAGTCCAGCCTGCCTGACGAGTGAAGTTTGTCTTAGTGGCAAACTATCACAAGTTGTTTTATCACAAGTTGTTTTATCATGGAAAGGTATTAAAATGAATGAAATTAGGTAAACGTAGCTCTCAGTTTTCATCATAAGGCTGCACTATTTCTAATGTCGTTGCACTATCAGAGTAAGACAGATGACTGTATTTATCTTTCAATGGCTAGCAGTTTAGGATTGTGAAGGCCAGTAAACAGTCTACTTATAGGTATACCTCTGATGGATCAAACAATGCCTGGTGAGTAAATAGCAACCACTAATGATGAAAAAAATGCCAATTGCTGTTACAAATTGCCTCTAGGTAAAGTGAAAAAAAAAAAGAGTGACCTATGTGGTAAATATTCACTTCCCTGTTGCAGTAAACTGATAAGGGATAGAAGGATTGTGTAGGTGGGATCTTTCAGCCAAGAAGAGCCAATTTGTCAAATTGTTCTCCTCAAGGTGGTAGGTGAAGGGACTCTGTGATGGCAAGAAAATTTTTTCAAGGAACGCATTGCTTTTTCAAATGTATTTGGAAAAGTTCTTAAATGCTGTGTACAATCAGAATACACTAACCGATAATGCCTGATCTCTCGGGATGCACAAAGGTCACATGCATCCTGACAGTGCTGACAGTATGGCAACAATTGTAACTAGAAATACCATTGCACAATGCATCTATAAAGTTTTAGAAACGAATTCATATGAATTCAAAAACTGAAGAAAAGATTAATTCTTATTTATTAGCTTTCAATATACAATTCTTGTAAGTCCATACAACACTTTCCAGGATCATGCAGCTACTCGATTCATTTATAGAACTCATCTTCTGGAATGCTACTTAAGTCTTTGATTGTAATCTTCTGAATTTCTTCAATGCTATTAAAATAACTACCTTGAAATGAGTCTTCACTTTAGGAAAAAGCAAGTGGGCCTCAGAGGCTAGTAAGCGTCACCTTTTTGTTGCTAGAAACTTCTTGATGAGAATGAAATTTATGATGGCACATTTTTATGAACAGAAGCCAGTTATTTGACTCAGCTTTTTCAGAATTAACATACCAAATTATCTTCAGAAGTCAGTCAAATGCTTCTTTACAAAACACGGAACCTACTGTATGTCTCTCAATTAAAAACTTGTGAATTATTCCTTTCCAATCAAAAAAAGTTACCAACATGAACCTCACATGAGATTTCTATTCCTATGGTCACAGTAAATCTTCTTCAGCCCAAGCAGATGTTTGCCATTTTGTCTCAGAACTTTAACCAAACTTTCATCTCCAGACATAATATGAAAAAAAAAAAAAAAAAAAGAAAAAAGAAAAAAAAAGAAAGAAAGAAAAAAAATCAGGATAATTTTCTGCCATTTGGATCATATCACAACCTACAGAAATTCAATTCATTTTGTGTTCTGCAGTCAGTGTGGAAAGGGCACAAAGAAAAGGAATATTTCTTTTTTCAAGGTTTTCCATGACAATTTTCTGAATATTTCCTTTATTGATGTTAAGCTATCATTCAAACAGACAGGTACTGATTTTTCAATAACAATTGTCAATTTTTTTAAAAATCATCTTATCCGTTCATAGGGTGACCATTCTTGTATTTATCATCATCACTTTTTCCTTCATCAGGAAATCATCTGTACCAACAAAAGACATCAAATGATGTTAATGCTTGATCCCTGCATGCTTTACAGAGCATTTTAAATGCTATGGCTCCACTGCAGCTTTTCTTGCTTTAAAGTAAAATTTCATTGCTATCCAATTTTATGACTGCAAACATCCAATGGATTAAGCAGAGTCGTAGCTAGGGTTTTCAGCGCCCAGGGACAATTGAGGATTTCGCGCCCCCTACTGCTTGCCAAGGATGGAAAACATTTAATTCTAAAATGTCGTAACATCAGTTGACGCCCCTTGGATTCTGCGCCCGGGGACAGATGCCCCCCTTGCCCCCTTCTAGCTACGCCCCTGGGATTAAGTAAAGAAAATTTTGCAGTAAGCAAACAAGATTTTTATTAGATTTATTGCATTTTCTGGCACAAAACTTGATGACGTTATCTGCACCAAATAAAGAATAAAAACAGTAATTACAATGTAGTTTCATGTGGACCATTACTATATTTTAGGTGAGGTAAAAGCATATTACAGTTTAAAATAAAAGTCAATATCCTTTAAAAACTGAAACAACTTGCGATGACAGAGTTTTTCCTCTATTAAGTTTTTTTAATCTAATTTTAAACATTTAAAATGTTTCTGGCGAAGATAATTAAAATCATGACATTCTAATAAAATATGGTGCACTTTCAGATCTTCATTATAGTTTGTGCAACGAGGATTCTTTTTGCCTTTCAGCAGATATTCTTCAGTTGGCAGTGACCTATTATCAACCAAGTATTTCCATTATTCAAGCCAACAGATATCAGAGTGCAGTATGCACTGAAATGCAAATACAAAGTAGTTTATTTAAAAATCTATGCTTAATTTCCTAAACAGTTCATTGGATGGGCAAAACTATGGAAACACCTTGTGAAATGCATGTTTGAAAAGAAAGATTGATTTTAATGAAATATGTTGGTGGCACTGGCGTTTTTGACTACTGACGCCACCTATACAACTTCGTAAATGTGCTAAACAGTTCAGTTGTTGTCGGAGTACTGTTATGTGAGGTTGTCATTGCATTATGTCAGAGTTAACAGACTTCGAACGTGGGCAAATTGTTGGAGCACGTATGGTAGGTGCTTCCGTAAGCAAGGTAGCCGAGGTGTTTAGTGTTTCAAGAGGTACTGTATTGAAGATTTTATTCCGCATATTTTGAAAAGCAGAAAACATCATCTGCTAATCACAGCGCAGACGAGCCGAACGAAAGTGTGTCCCGAGTGATCGTGACAGACGATCATTAAGGGCAATTGTAGCGAAAATAAGAAGACCACAGCTGCAAAAAGTTACTGCTGAAATGAATGTTGTGTTACCGAACCCTGCCCTGCGAGTACCAAAACAATTAGAAGGGAGCTTCATAAACAGGGAATTGCTGGCCGTGCTGCAACTGAGAAGCCACTCATCAGTGATGCTAATGCCCGTAACAGGAAAAGGTGGTGTTTAAGTTAAGTCATAAAGCCTGGACTATAGAGCAGTGGAAGCGAGTAATAATGGTCTGACGAGTCTTCTTTCACATTGTTTCCCCCACTTCTGGCCGAGTTTACGTCTGGAGAACGCCATCTCAAGCCTATAATACAGACTGCTTGTTGCCAAGAGTGAAACATGGTGGGGGTTCTGTTATGGTTTGGGCAGCCATATCGTGGTTCTCTCTGCTAGCCCCATGATAACTGTGTCAGGGCACACGACTGCCAAGACTTATGTGAACATTTTGGCCGATCAAGTTCATCCCACGGTACGAACTTTGTTCCCCCCGATGGTGATTGGTGTCTTCCAAGATGACAAAAGCCCCTGTTCACACAGCTCACATTGTCCAGGACTGGTTTTTCTGAGCACGAGGATGAGTTGTCCCATCTCCCCTGGCCACCACAGTCACCAGACCTGAATATTACCGAACCTTTGTGGTCTACATTGGAATGGAAAGTGTGTTCTTGTTATCCACCGCCAACATCATTATTTGAACTTGCCACCGTTTTGCAGGAAGAATGGTATAATATTCCCTTGGCAAACATACAAGAACTGTATTTATCCACTCCGAGAAGACTGCAAGCTGTTTTGGATGCCAACGGGTTTCCTACGCCATATTAAGCAAAGAAACATGTTTTTCTAAAGGTGTTTCCATATTTTTGTCCAACCCCTGTAACTTGTTTCCTTCTATATGCTGCATAAGGCCAGCATTAAATTGTGGGATTAACATTTCTCAGCTTGTTTTCTGTTTGGTCATCCCAATGCCTTTGCCATTCATTAAAAAGCCATTCATTAGTTCTGGAGTAATTAGCATATTTCTGAAGCAGGAAACATGAAATATGAGCAATGCCCTTGCCAGGACCTCTCAAATACATGCTGAGTATGCTAACTATAACAGCATGAAGGCATGCAGAAAGGAGGCAGAAAATACCTTATAACGTTTGATCATTGTCATGATATCTGTGAGTGGAATCTGTGAATAAGATACTGTAGTAGCAGTTTTAGCTGTAATGTCTGCTAGTTCATTCCCTTTTATCCCAGAGTGGCCAGGGATCCAAGACTACAGAATCTGATATCCCTGATATTGTAGAGTCTGACTGAGCTTCAGAATTCTGGTAATAATGGGATGTGAATTATACGTAGGCTCGTTGAATAACGTTAGGGCACTCAAAGAATCCGTACAGATAATGAAATTTCAATAATGTTGTTTTGACAGAAACATTAAAGTCTGATAAACTGCAGTTAGTTCAGAGGTAAAGATGGATGAAGCCGGGTGTAATTGAATCCCCACAATTGTATTTTTTACTATAAAGTCTACACTGACATGATTTTCAGATTTTTATTGATCTCTATAGAAAAGGATATAATTTCTATATTTATGTCTACCTTCTGCAACGACGTGCCTGTGAATGACATCACTTGTGCTAGATTTATCCCAGTGTTGGAAGGTATCTAGAGATTGAATTTTCCAGTCCTCCCATAGTGGCATCTCAAAAGGCTTCTCCAGCTGTGCACTTATATTAGACATATTATTCTGTTCTATCAAGGTGCCATCTCTTAAACCAAATAATGAGATAGATAATGGGTGTGCCTGTTAAAAAAGGCAGCATGAATCACTGAGTAAATGTAATCGGATGTGATTCTGAATCTGTGATATAATTTTAAAATAGTGCTGAAGACAAAGATGCTCACATCTTAAACACAGATAAGTCTTGTTGCTTTCCACATACAAGCTTTACACTGGAGAAATTCTAAAGGCCCCCAGTGCACATCCGAAGTGCTGTTAAATGTTACTGTCAAATTATTTAGTATGCAAGCCCATAATTCATAACGTAAATTCCATTTGTCTTTTTTTTCATTTGTCTAAAACTAAATTCCCAGCCTCACTAAGGGAACGTGTTCACTTGTATCAAAATTTAGGTAATTTCTTAGTGCAAAGAGTTTTTCAAATTGAAGGAAAAATTGTTTGTTATGCATAGTGTCTGCAAAAACTGTGGGACAAAAGTTACACGATAATTAGTTGTTGTCTTAAATACTGTATTATGTTATTTTATATTATGCTACATAATTTAGCACATTAAGAGAAATTTCCAGATAATTTCAGGTGCCCGGTCAGCAAAATTCTCTCCTGTTTGAAATTGTCGTCACCTGTGAATTTTTCAATTTCCTCTATTGTTTAAAGCAGTTCATTTCAACACTAGACTGTCTTTGTAGCAGCTTTGACATCAACCATGGCGGCATATTTTATATGGTGGAATTTAAATTGTACGATATATTAGAGAGTATCTTTACTTGCAGTTACTCAAAAAATCTTCATTGTCAGGTCATGCGAAATCTAGATTGACACAGTTGAATTAACTGTTTTTCTCTTTTTTATTGAAAATTTGGCAGCTATTCATTGGTTTCATTAACACCTCATTAACTCATGCTGTCTTATCTAAACTATTTCATAACTGAGTGCCTAAGGTATGCCTTCAGGAATTTGTCCTTGAACATAGTTGCTGAGATATGTCGTCTAATGAATGGCAAAGGCATTCAATCACTTAAAAGGTCAAGGTTCAGAAATTCAGATGGGAAACATGTGTTGTCTTATAATAATTACTTGTACATTATTTGAGAGCTATTACATCCTGTTTGTATTCTCGGAGCTCAACGGACAGTGAAGTTTCACAAATGCTACTCTAATCCATTCTGAACATCTTACTTCAAAATTATTTTGACCATGAAATCGAGATATTGATACAGAGGTAACTTAAATAACATGGGAAAATAACAGTACATCTGGAATCTAATGGCTAGAGATGACCTTTTAAACTGATTGACTAGTTTTAGTGTATTTACAATTTCCAGGTTTTAGATTAAAATTGTAAAACTACTGTTCTTTCTTTGACACAAAATTTGTATTTATGTTCCAGTGATTTGTTTGAATAACAATACCATCACAGTAAACTAAACTTCCATATGTAAAGGTCACTTCAGCATAAACAGATATATATGGAAATAAAGACAGACAACTCAGATTTTTATCAGTTAAGAATGAACCGATAAGAATGTAAGAAAAACTGCTTGTACATGTATACAAGTACATGGGAAATTATATTTATTTATGGAAATGTATACCTACATATCTATGTAGTATATATGTCTGCACTGACATAATATGGTATAAATGCAGATATGAACATGAAGTGGAAAGCATGCGTACCCTTAAATGGGAATAACGTATATACAGACACATACACGTACACATACTGGCACACATATGCATTTATATATGTGTTTGCGTGTGGATTTATGCATACGTGTATTTAAACATACAGATATATGTATGTGTATATATTTCGTCATCAAGCCCTTGAAGAAGTTTTCGTATTTCTTCTTCAGTCAGACCTCTTTTCCTTTTCGGCATATTGCTAGAAAAATGTCAAAATAATTCCTAAAGAACTTATGAAAATATGCAATATTCTAAAGCCACACAAGGCTCTGTTTACAATTTGCAAATGCAGTTATCATGAATTCTGTAGCTATGTAGCTACAAGACCTAAAAGGAATAAATTGGGAAAAACCGGATTCTTAACACAAAGGCCTTTGAAAGAGATAAGTGGTTAAAACCCCAGGGACATCAAATTTGACATTTCACCCTACTCTTTCAGTCTAGAAAATGGGGGGAAAAGACATGGCCACTAAAGTGGACAACCCCATCATTTCAAACAGAGGACTCTATGGCCACTATAATGGCCTCCCGTCTTCAAAAGGTTAAAGGCAAAACCAGAAGAAATAAAATACTAAATGAGACCAAATCATTTCACTAGCAAACTAAAACATTTTATTTTCTAAATAAGTTAAACAGAATAATTTAGAATTCCAGTTCTTGTACTAACAGCAAAACTATTTTTTATGAAGAATAGTAGTTTGAGAAAAACATCACTTTTATGTGATCATAATGTTTCCGATTTTACAAATCAATATCTTAACTGCAGAAACATGAACCATTTGCTTGAAATTTTTTAACAGCCTGTGCATGCTTTTCAGCTTTGAGCTTGAATAAAGCTTTGAATTATGCTTGAATAAAGATTATGATCTGCAACTCCATGATTGTAAATTTGTTTGAAGGAAAGAAGTACAAAGTATTAAGCTTCATTTTCTAGGTCAGCTCCTTCTGTTATTACATTATTGAGCATTATTTCAATACCATCGTTGAGATATTTCATTATATGTATATATAGTATACTGGTATATCATTTTATACATAGATAATTCACATAAAATAAAAAGTTCTATCATCTGCATGTCAATTAATGCTACAAATAATATAACAATACAACCTAAAGTAAATATACTGAAAACAATTATTACCTTTCAGGGTAGGCAAGTGCCTATAAGGAAAAGAATACAACAAAACAAAAGAAACCAAAAAAAAAAAAAAAAAAAAAGATTAAAAATCGGATAATGCACTTAATGCAAAAAAATTAGTTAAAGGATCATGTAAAACTGAATGTCTTCATTAGAAATCAGCTCAGTTTCCCATGAACAAACACTTTTCTGGAAAAATTTCAAAAATTTGAATAATAATTTACATTTTTAAGGTCAACAACTAAAATTAAAATAGCGATTAGAATACACGATGCTCCATGTCTAGAACAAAAAACCCAAAACAGCAAATATGGTCAGAAGCTGGGAAAATTTATAATAAAAATCATTCACCTCTGACTAAACCTTATTGAGAAAAGATAAAAAATTTTATTAATAATTAAAAAAATAAAAAATGCCCAAAAAAATGTGTCAGCATAATGGCATTATACAAAGCCAAAATAATTTATACTACAAAAACAGCAATACAAATTATCAAAATGCCTGTAAAAGCCTAATTTAGGGCAACAAATTTGGAAAGAAAAGTGTTTCATAAGAAAAAGTACACACACTATTATTTTAATCCAATAGAATCACAAAATTATAAAACAGTATTGTAGCTTTATATTCTAATACTTTTGGTATGTTTATATTCACATAATTTCACAACATTTTGTGGGATATTAACAGCTTTTCATTAAATACTTTCCAGTTACTGATCTCACTCTACACACACACTTTAAATTTATAAATTATTTAAGTAAAAATTACAAAAGATATACGTACAGATATTTCTTTCAATAAATTCAACTTTTCTATTTTTAATTTGGTGATTTCATGCTCGCATACTTCAGCAGGCAAAATGTCTTGAACTAGTACTTCTGTATTACTTCCTAATAAAGAGGGGGGGGGGAAATATCAGTTTTTCAGCAGTCTTATGTTGCCAAAAATGTTACAATGTTCCATTAAATATAAATCATTAAGTTTTAACTCATACAGTCAAACACATAAACAGCGTTCTTCTTCATCTTTTTAACATAGCTATAAAAGATTTATCTAAACATAAAAATTCTTATATTATACAGTATAATCATCGGAATTGTGTGAAGACAGCATAAATCTATCTTCCTGGTAACAATAAAGACATACGCACTCCAGAAGTAGCTCCAGTCTACTGAACATTCTCCCTACCCTAGAACAAAAACTATCTTTCACTAGAAGCACAATGCAGCAATGTATTTATCAGATCAAATCATGCTTGTGTATTTTCACCAGTATCCTGAATTTAAATGTAAAAATTCCTATTTGATTAATCGAATAATTATTACATACAGCACAATAACATGTACTTAATTTCAAGAGAAGATGGTACTCTGCACATAAAAGAGCATAAATGCATGCATTCTCTGGAATTTTAAGTTTGTTCATATTTTAAACCTTAGTACTCCATTACCTCTGGTACAGAGTTCCAACCACTCATTTGTTCTGGTGGCACTGCTGCAGAGCCAAATGTTTTTAACATGATTATGCTTAGGATGCTATGCCAATTGTTATCTGAAGTTAAAAATGTGGCAAGTGCTAAGTCAATACTGAGGTTAAATTATTTTATGATGACCTTTTTCATGGTTAAAAAAAAGGAGGCGAATTAATGTTATGATGAAAATTTAGAGCTAAGTGACAATGAAAATATACTTGATTTTCAAGTATTAAAAGGTCATTTAGAAGACAATGTTGATTATGATCCTGAGATTTCAAGGAGTAGTAATGAAGAGATGAATGAGAATTATTGAAAGTGAAAGCAAAGATTTGTTAGACCACTTAGATGAATGTTACAGAAGAATGAGTTATTCCAGAAGGAATATATTTTAGTGCATTGCCAAAAGTCATCAGACCACAAATTCCTCGAAATATTGTACAGCCAGTAAAATATTTTAAATTGTTTATTGAAATTATAAAAGAAACCAACAATTATAGAAATTTGGGCTAATTTGGGCTTTTATCACCATTATTGTCAATAAGGGTAAGATGCCACTAGCATGTATGCAAGAACACTGGTTGGTTAAGGAGAATAGTAGTACCCCTTTCTTTAGCAATATAATTTATACGGAAAAGATTCCACTAGATGTTCTTGGATGTTGCATTTGAAAACGCCTGATCCTACAACAAATTATATTAGAACTCGTATGCAATGAGCAAGTAATTTTTTGGAATGTATAAATTTAAAACCTTCAGAACATTTTATCACTGGGAAAAATATTTGTGTCATGAAATTTAATGAAAAATTATGTTTTATGACATATAAGACCAATAAACCAAGCAAGTGGGGCATTTGTATATATGTTCTGGCAGATTCAGAATTGGGATATGTATATAGCATCCTTCCGTATTATGCGAGACACTTCCAAAACTCTGCCAAGGCAAGATTTACTGGCCAGCACCAGAATTATTCTGGATCTGTACGAACAATTACTGAATTGAGTACCTATTGTAAAAGGATATCCCATGCACATTGATAGGTATTACAGGAGTATATCCTTAGCTGAAGAATGAAAAAAATGAGCTGCCACATCATCGGCACTATTAGAACAAACAGAACAGGTGTTCCAACATATCTCAGGAAACTTAAATTCAATGAAAAAAGGAATGTTGTAAACAGAAAGGACATAAAATGCTCTTAGCTTGATAAAAGTGTCACTGTTGAGCAACTGGTATAATGCTGGAATGATAAGCACTAAAAGATGTATATGAGGTGAAGGAATAGAAAAGCCAAGTATAGTTGTTGGGTACACAGAGTTATGGTGTTGATAGGGCTGATCCATATGGCCCTAGTTATTACTTTTTGAGAAAAATCACTCAAGTGGTGGCAGAAGCTGCTTTTCTAGAGAATGGAGATGCCAGTGATAAATTCATACATTCTCTATTAAACTGTGCAATGAAATAAAAGAAAGCACTGACGCATTTAAGATATAAAATTTTAGTCAACCAGCTCATAGGATATTTTCTTCATAACAGAGCAAGAGTTTCTACATTATTAATGTCTGAGACCAGATTAAACAGAAAACTGCATATAATCAGGAAAGGTGAAAAGAGGGACTGCAATGTGTGTTAGAAAGAGCAAAAAAAGGACAGCAGATGCCAAATTGGTGAGTACTGTGACATATGCCCAAGTAAACCCAGAATGCATATGGGGGGATTGTTTTGGAAGATATCATGATTGTGAATTGCAAAATTTAAAATTTATGTTCATTTGCAAGAGGAATATGTGAATATTTCACAAGCACATTTAATTCTTTCCACACAAAATAGGATTTCTCAGACATTCTGCTGCAATGACACACTAAGTGTTAATGCACCTTGCAAGAAGTACTTGCATGTATCAAAAGTAAAGCCAGCATTACTTATTTTTTACACTGGTACAAGGTTCTAGGTGAAGTAGCCAGTTACTGCCAGCATAAAGAAATATTCTTTACTAATACACTTACAGTTCAAAGTACAGTAACTGTTGCAGCAGCCCAGTTTCTAAAATTTCTTTTGTGAGATTCTTTTAATTTAAATTATCAGTTATTTTATGTTTTGAATCTGTACTGTGACTTTCTCTTTCTCTGTTCCAGCCAGAATGCAAATTAATTCAGAGTGTATTTAAGTGAGGTTTTCAGAATGTCAATACAGAGTGTGTTCTGCCACTCATGGCCACATTACTAGGTTTGCTATTCTAGATTCCTGTCTTTGACCTTGCATTACAATTACCAGAAACTGAAAACCTTGCTGGTGAAGTTCTAAGCCAACTTGCTTAAATTGCTCTGTATAGCCATTGGCTTAGTTTATTTAAATTTAACTTCACATTTGACTTACTGCTTTTATGTTTCTCACCATAAATGATAGAGTTTTAAGCACCCAAGTGTGTCTTTTGGTCATTTTATTCAGTTTTCAATAAAGGATCTTTGACAACCTTCTTCTGTTTTTGTTACACTTTGCGATATGTCGCCTAATGCCTATACAGAGTTTAACTTTGGATAGTACCCAAGAGAGTTAAACTTTAAAAATTCCCTTTCAGCATAAACATCTTTGTTAAATGGCTTATGAAACTGTAAACTAATTTATTGCACCTTCTATAACCTATTACTGGAAAAAAAACTTTTACTGAGAGTAAATGCAATTTTAAATATGAGATGCATAAAAAGCATAATTAATATACCCAAGGTTAAAAGCTAATGAAATGTCTAGAGTTAGACTGTAAAAGAAAGTTTAAGCTTCTTGCTTTTATACAGAAGAGATCACACAGGAAAACGTATATCGTAAGATTCGTAGTAAGATATTGTTAAATCAGTTTCACGTACCAGTGTCTGAATCTTCAGGAGCTATAGGTCTTTCTAGTTCCAAACTATTCATGCTGGAGGAATCTGACTCACTCATTGTAGGCTGCAAAGAAGGTGAAGTGCCTGAACTTGGCAGAAAATTTTCAGGATTGCTATTTGTCCTTTTTCCAAATCTCAAATGACCACTATAACTTGGATCAATATCATCCTTTGGAGAATCTCTGAAATTATTAATACCAGAAGTTTTTCATTATTACTACTTCAAAACAAAGAACAGATTCATGATTCAAAATAATGAATGTATTTCAATCTTTTATTAAAAATGGAACTTTTTTTTTTATCAATTTTTTTTTTTTTTTTTTTTTTTTTTTTTTTTTGCAGAAGGGTTATTTTAGAAACTATTACTCTAAATGAATCTTGAATTTTTACCATTAAGTACTTTAAAATGCACCCATTAGAAAAAAATGGAAGCTGTTCAAGCATAAAATAGGATGGAAAATATAAACATTGCACTTATTGAGAAACTATAACAAAGTCTGAATGGACTATTGTTCCTAATTGTTCTGAATTGACTAAAGTTATTTATATAAATTCATTTAGTTTTTACATTTTCAATCAAATATTCACTTGCACCATGAATATTTTAGTAATGCCTTTATAAATTTTATGCACACCCACCAGTGACCAAGTGGTTAAGACCCTTGAATGCTCGGAGTTTGCCTTAGGTTATATTCTAGGCAAATAGGCTGATTGCCTGATAAGTTTTTGTTATTTTCTCCATGTGTAATTGAATACAAGCCAGTTTTCCTTAGAAAGCCCCCACAAAGGTATCCTTCCTCTTAAGCAGGTAGCTCTCATTTGCTTTGTCATAGAGCTGAATAACCCAATTTTATGCAGTCATTTTCAAAATAATATTTTTTCATCATAACTTTAGCATCTTGCAACATAGTTTTTCTTGACTTTATAATAATGCATCCTAATATGAAGAGAGAGGGGAGAGAACATGTATAGGTCAATAAACTATTTACAAACAACATTTTCTTCCAAAATATGGGAAACTATAACAATACTGCTGTAATTTGTCCTTGATAAAATATTGCATATTACAGCTAAAAAATATGCCACATATTTCAGTTTTAAAAATTACAGAAGACTTCCTAGGTTGCATTGATCTGATAATAATTTATTACATTTTATTTTCCCGCTGCTCACTGATAGAAATAAATATCCAGGCTATCAGGGGAAAAAATATTCAAAGTGACTGTCATCATTTATTTATGGATGTACAGTCAAATACTGAAACTCTGCCGACCTGAAATCCGCCAACTCCTGAAATTCGCGTTGCCTCTCAAAATATAAACATTTAGTTTATAGGTTCCGGAAACCGCAATATTGAGTACGAAATATCGAAGAAAAAATACTTGCCGAATAATGACATCATAATTACTGAATAATAATGAGTCATAACAGAAACACCAAATTATTGATATGATCAAAGTTTTTTCTCCTCTAATCTGCATCAAGGTAAGAAAGCAGACGATTCACTCAACTCTTCTTTCAAGTTCACGATTCATGTTGTTGCATTTTCTAAGCTTTGTTATTTCATGAGATTATTTAGTGCTGCCTTTTTTTATCCGGGTATTTTGTGGATAAATTAAGAATATTTTAAATTTCAGCCCTTTTTAATACAATTATAGATAAGAAACGCACTCATGATTTTACTGCTTGCAACGTTGAAAAACGTAAACATGTTGCATTGATGGTAATGCAAAAAGTGCAAATTCTGCAAAAGATGGAGATAGGTGCACTTTATAGCAGATCTCATGGAATTCCAATACGATTGTGTATGACATACAGAAAAATGAAGAAAAGCTGTTGAAATTTTACAGCAACAGTGATTCTAACACCGGAATCTAAAACTAGAAATCTTTGCATGAGGCGAAATCGGCAAACCTCAATGCTGTGTATATATAATACAATGAATAATATAATCAATTTATATATGTAATAATAATTTAATGCATATAATAAGTTATTGCAATAATGTATATAATAATTTAATTAAATGTATCTAATACGCCTTACTTATTTTGCACTTTTAGTCTGAATATTATGATTTATCTTTTCCATCCTGAAATCCGCAAAATCCTAAAATCCGCACAACCTCTGGTCCCAAGCATTGCGGATTTCTAGACTTTTACTGTATAATATGTAACATAACTACAATCAAGAAGAAGCTTAACTAAAGAGGAATTTGTCTTACCTATTAAATGAACTTTGCAATGAAGATGAATCTATGATTTGAGAGCTCTGAGCCCTTACTGTCTGAAATTTAAAAAAATATTATGTTTTAATGCAATCTTAAAATTTAATTATTTACGTGTTATTCCAATTTTCCAAAATTTATTTAAAAGTAATCATGCACTACTGGCACATTAAATTCAAATATATCAGCCATGAATTAAAATTAGAAATAATGCAGCAATACTATAAGATTTGCCTTCTTGCAACCCTTTATTTTATATGACATTCATCAATAATACAGTAAAATGACTTATGTATTTCTGATATATGCAAAAAAAAGACAATTATATTAAAAAACTTAACAAATTAAAAAACTGAAGTACATTACTTTATGAAAATTTTATTTTTTAGTAAAATACAACTTAAAATTTCAATTTAAGGGTGCAGTGGACCATACAATGATAAGAAATTCATGCATGTGGTTCCCCACGGGTGGCAGTGTTCGAGCTGTTATGAGATGCAAGACAAGAGGCTCTGACAATACAGAAGTAATAATTCATTCAGTTACAGCTTAACATTACAAGAAATCATAACATTATGGCTAGTGTCAAAGGATTTTAGGGTTCTGTGTTGGGTATGTCTTCAAAATCTTTTGATTTCAGAAAGACTCACAGAGCAATGACACTGTTGCTTCTCTGATAATGTTACAATTATAATTAATGGGAGGATATAAAATGCAACTGAAAAATTAATAAGAGGGCATGACAAAATTAATCTGGAAACTGTTTTAGAGAGGTGAACTCAAAATGCTTCTAAACTTTTGACAAGAGAGACTTGCCACTAGCAAGCTCCTCACATAATGAGGACAATAATTTACAATAATAGTTTCCATGCCTTCTTCAGTGTTATGTATTGTTAACAGAGCTTCTCATAGATTTTATATTAAACATATTTTAGTTCTATATGAAGTAAATAATATGCAACATTAAACACAACCAACTATGGAGTGATGGCCTCAGTGCAGCAAACTGTCATCACCTCCAGGGAAAGGAAATTTTATCCTTGCATAACTTTGTATAAGTAACAGGTTCTGGAGAACTTTGATAACATACATTTGAATTTCCCAACAAATTAACATTTTACAACATATTCAACATTTTACAACATATTCAGACCACTGCAATGAACTCACCTTGCACTCATTAAGTCTCTTATTGTATCAGACAAATTTCTGCCATCACTTAATAATTACACAAATATATAGAGCAATAACAAATGTATTATAATGGGAACAATAGTTATTAATTTTACTTAAATAATTTATTATATAATTAATTATTTTAAATTAGTATTTAACTAAAAATAATAAAAATATTTCTGATTATAACAGAAAGAACTGAAAAAGAAAGATTAAAGAAAATGAACTATGCCATCCAAATTTTGAAAATTTATCAGAATTAAATTTGTTTATCCCCTTCAAATACATATCGAGCTGAATTTATACAGTAATCTCAGTGCCTGCACAATGACTGAAATGCTCCCTGGATGTCTTCAAATCACAGCCTGATTATAGCCTAAAGCTACAAGACCTCCATCTCCAGATTTTAGAAGACTAAAATCATCCTATAGTTAATCATAATCATGTTTCTCTCATAAAGGAGACATGCCTTGCAAAGAGAATTGAAGACCATGAGTGATTGCTGTATCTAAAGTTCTGGATTGTCTCAGATGGGCCTTGCTTTTAAATTCATCTTTTCCAATTTGATCCCATAAAAGATACTCAATCCAGTGTCTCAGATGATTAGAATGAGTTTTGATTTACAATGAAGAATCCAAGAAGAAACAGAAGTGAAAATAAAGACCCGTGTGTTCCCCCAAGACCAAGGAAAGTTAAAAATACAACATAGTGAATGTTAGTACTCTTTTTTAACATGAAGGTGATCAAGCATTGAACTTTTTAAATTTTAGTGGTAATTCCTCTTTTCAGAGTGTAATCTGAAATTTACAAATTGTGGGTTTATACATTTTTAAAGCTCTCATAGCAAACAACTTAATTTTGCAACCAACTTTATTTTCCTTAAATTGAGAAAACAGTATTTTCATAAATACTAGTATAATTTTAAGAGTATTACAACAGCCACTTACCGTATTTGACAGCACATAAGACACACTGGCATATAAGATGCACCCTTATTTAGAAGGCCACACACAAGGAAAAAAAGTTTTAATAGTTCGTGCGATAGACCACAATAACTAAAAATGTGGTTTCTTTCTCTTTCATTGATATTTCCTATTTGACAGAGCTCAAAAGTTTTCTTGTGTGCATTTATAACAAACCTATGAAATGCTAGTATTTTTTCTTCATAATCTGCTGGAATTTTCTGTGCAATAGTTGTTATTGTGCACATTAATAAGCCTTGCCTTTTCATGAACCTGTAGCACCAGGCCTCAGATCCTGAAAAGTTCTGATTCCCATGTTTTTCTGCAAATCCTTTGGCCTCATTGATTATCATTTTGGTTGAAACATCTCAGATTTTCTCTTATCTATCACCCACGTTTTTACGGCATTTTCAAGTTCAGGCCAAGATGGAGCTGGGCATCGAAGGTTATGTTTTTGTTTTTTAGCAGTCTTCAGTTGATCTTCCTGCAGTCACCAAGTACGTATCATTTTTTCGGTAGGTGGTGGACCAAAATGCCTTGCTGCTGCTCTATTTCCATGCACTTTGACGTAGTTTAACACTCCTAGTTTATACTGAATTGTATAGCTTAATCTCTTGTTTCCTGCAGTCATATTTTCCAGGGTATTTTGGTATTTTTTTAAACAAATAGTTTTAAGCACCGATACCGACACGTTTATACAAAGTAGCACCAATACCGAGATGTGTGTTGGCTGAGTCAAAGAAAGTCTATGTAAAGAAGGAAAGGCTCCATGGATGTAGTGTGACCGTCGAACCAGTTCGAACTTCGACATCAGCTTCGAGCTTTGCCACTTTTTGGAGACAGATATTTCACCCATGCACAAAGTAATTATGGCAGATGTAGAAAAAGTTATGTGTGTCTAGACCTTTATCCAGGCTAACCGTTGTCCTTCCCGTATAAAATGCAGGTAACTTTCTTGAGACCAAATTTAGGAAAAAAAGTGTGTCTTATATGGCGTCGAATATGGTAAATAAGCAATAGGATTTTAAACCTTAATAATCATAGGCAGAATAGTGTTGTATTTCCCCTCTATTCAGTTTTAGAGAACACCGATTTATAATTTAATAAATAAATTTCACATTAAATACTGATGAGTTTGTAACTTGCCCTTAATATAAAATTATTGAGAATCCTAAAAGCATGGGTGAAGAGCCAAAAATAGAAGAAATCATATTTGCACTTAGCATGAAGTTAATGAAAATGTAGCAAACAGAAAAATGCTTGATTGCTAACACACCACCCACAACATTTTTTAATGTTTTAATGGATCCGGAAAAACAAAATTATGAATAACTTCATAACTCAAATTGTTAAATATTGTACAATAAACATTGCAATCTTCGAGTTTAAAAAATAAAAACAAAACCATGAAAATGAAACTTACAGAAGGTGTTGTATCTCCAGTTAAGGTTCCAGTTAAACTGCTATTACTAGCTCTTGAAGATGATCGTTTTGGTGTAGCATGGGCCAAATTTGATTCAACAGAATGACTACGATTGCGCCCACTTAATGCTTTTCTAACTGAATCAAAGAAACCTGAACTAGTACCAATTTCAGATTTATTATGATCAGATGGAATAGAAAATCCACAAAAGTCCAATGTTCTTTCAAGAAGATTGTCATGAAGTGCTTGTAGGAGAGAATTCCTAGTCCTCCTCTGAAAAATGAATAAAATTAAATTAATACATTAAATGTTAGATATCTTATTAAGTAAATGCATATGTAAAATGTACAGTTGTAACAATGCTTATTACTGCAAGAGGCATTGATTATTTTGAATCACATCATCATGTTTAATTCCACTGCACGATGAAGTACTGAATGACAAATCAGTGCAAAAGTATGTGCAATACTAATCTTTAGAGAGCTAAAAAATGAAGCATGTTCAAGTCAATGTCTTAAAAATATCATAAATTTGTTTCCTACTATTTATATCTCAAACAATTTTCAAGATTTTAAAAATACCATCTTAAAACCTAAATTAATAATACATTAATCATTTAATGGGTAAACTTTTCAGATTTTTTTTGCAAGAAGTTGTGTTTAAAATTCAAAAAATTAACTTAATTACATATGGAATATACCTGTATATCACAAAAACGAACTCTGTCTTAAAACTGTAATTTCTACACAATAACATTTAAGTCTCATCTTATTTTATTAATGTTAAAATGATCGTTAATTATTATGTTTTATTTCAAAGCTAAATCCAATAATGAATCACTTTTCAACTCATTATAGAGCTACATATGCTTTTATGGCCAGTCTTAAATTAAAAAAATTTCAAGGGACAACTTTTTAAAAAAAAGTTTGAAGATAACGATAATTTTATAATCATGACAATGAAGCAAGTGCTCGTGCATGCGCACACACACACAATACACAGAGGGAAAAAAATCAGGAAAAATAATGCAAGTTTCATACCAGCCAATGTTTACCTTTCCACCTACAGTTATACTTAGGTGATATTTGACTTTAAAATACTAAACACTTTCTGTTTGAATTTCTTAACAGCAAGATAACTATTAACTTCAAGTTGTAAGCACTTTAGCTTTCAGCATCCTTACTAAACATGGAGCAAGAGTATTCGATCTGCATTATCATTCAAAATGAACATAAGCCCACATAAATTATGGAACAGTACACTGAGAGTTAACAATAGCATGAAGACTAATTTTTAAATGCACTTATTTAGTAATTGAAAAGCAGTTAAAAAAATCTGGGATTTTTAGGAAATGCCATCAAATTTATGATCCTCATGTCTCATGCTAATGAGACATGAGGATCATCTGCCTCTTTATCTGATGCACTTTTTTCGTAAAAAAGCATTATCAGATTCAAGCAATTTTCCATGGCAGTGAAAGTAAAATTTTTAGGGTAGTGTGAGTTTTTATTTCACTGAAACTCCTGCTACATTCTACAGTTGTTAACACACTTTTGTGAATATTTCTGCAGAATTATTTAATTCATTCCACAGCTAGTTGATTATGCAATACTATTACAATTCCGCATTTTAAAAAAATCACTGTAATTTAAGAGCTTGAACATGATGTCAAAAATGCATATTTTGAAACTTCAGAATAGTGTTTTCAATACATAATTTTACACAGGAAACATTGTATCCAAAAATCTTCCAAAGTACAATGGTGTTACAGATCAATCCAAAAATCACAAGATTCCCAATAGGATACTAGGTAATGTAGGAATAAATATAAAATAAGTGTGTATAATTTCAACACGTATATAGAAAGTTTTAAGAAAATAATAAGAAAGAATGAAAAACAAGCCTTCTAGAGTTATGTTGTAATTTAAGTAATTAGATTATAAATTATGTTACAAATTTTAAAATTACTTTCATTAATTTAGTTTTGAAAAGTGTTCTCTTAGAATAAAATTAAACATAAAAGGAGATATATATAGTGCTGCAATTAGTATTTATTTAGCTGTTTATTTTTAGTTTAGAACTGAAAGATGTTTTAACACTCATTTTTTGTTACATTCCTATTTACTGTAATGCTCAGAAGGTTATACTTGGTTCTAATATTTACTGCATAGCTAATTTTTATTCAATAATTGACATAGAGTAATTTCAATGAATGAAAAATTTTCCCAGAAGGCTACACCAGTCATTATTACAACACTTTAGCTCCTATTTTATACCACACTGATCAGATTTTAATCTATTATTCCTAAAGACGAAAACAAATTTCAAAGATAAAATCAGTCGTAAAACATATTCTCTAAATAGGCCACAAAATGCATTTAAAAAAACTATAATTTCCTGAAATAGTGTTGTACAGTAAATTTCTAACTTATTTTAGAAATATGCCAAATTCTGTATTTCTACTCTATTAAACTAAATAAAAATTGTGCATTAAGTCTTATAACATTAAGTTTTATATAGATGATAACCTATGTTCTCTACTTGCCTAACTTACCAAAATATAAAGGTTAACATTATGCAGGATTTCCCCATTTTTAACTTAGAGTTACTAGGAAAAGTCTAAAAGGATAATAATTAAACAAAATTAAATATGCTCACTAGGTAGTACTGCTTGATAAAAATTTCTAATTAAGAAAATAACTTTAATTCAAAGCTCAGATGATTTTGTGCAGTGTAAAACTACTTATTATCATACTATCCCAAACACAGAGGAAATTATGTCTAATAATCTGATATGCATGGAATAATAAATTTAAGCTTTTTTTAACAAGTAATCCTTACTAATGGCCTTTAATTTTTTCTCCTTTACCCTTTAGCAAAAACAACTCACAAGCACAGCAGAAAATATTTTATACAATTGATTTTATTTAATTTCCCTGTCTTTTCACATCTTGTATAGGATAAAAGCCAAACACACACGTGGTTTAAAAATTTTATATGAAACAAGAATCTGCTAAGTTTACAGAAAACTTCTCTAAAGACTGAAGCAAATACTAATTTATAATGGCAAAACACTCAAAAATGCAACTATTTAATTATTTTAAGCTGCAGTTAGGTGGCCCAAAAATAAATGAATTTGGTTAAATATTTTACAATCTCATTAAATATGGCATGTTTGCAAGATGTTTAGAACTGATTCACTTACTTCAAGACTAACAAATTTCTTGGCTTTTAAAGATGCTATTTCAGCATTGATGAGTTTAGTTAAAAAAAATGCTCTGAATTCTTCAGACTTCTTGAAAACAGGAGAACTGGGCAATTGAGGACCAAAAGCAGGAACATCATCTCTAAAAGTAACTGACACTTTATACCTATGAAGTAATATAGTTATTTTATTTTTTTGGAGTATAAGAATCAGTGACAAATAACAGAGTATTTAGGTCAACAGCAACAAATACATATGACTGAAGGATTTCAAACCTGGTATTAGAAGATAATGGATCTATAACTTGGACTACAATGAATGTATGAAGAAAATGCGAAGCTATCATGCTGGGCATAAATGGTGTATTTTCATCTTGAAATACAACTGCAACAACATCATTGCCAATATGCCGTTTTCTTTGAAGCTGAAAATAAAATGCACAAGGAACATAATGTAAAGAAGTTTTACAAGTTACCTAAGCTCAAGTTCTGTACAAAAATCAGTCCAAGAGCTTATCAAGCAAGAAAACACATATTAAAATTGAGAGATACTTATCCAATATGCAAATAAAATTCAATGAAGATATACTTTGATAAGAAAACATTAACTTAGCATTTGGACAAATTTTTGATGCAGGGTTATATATTACAATAGAAACTAAATCTGAAGATTATAGTTGTAAATCTAACTAACCTTAGTACTGAGAAGACATGAATCAATATATAATTATCTGAAATATAGTTTACAAGGAATGTGTGTTAGCTCACAGAACCATTAGTTTCAAGCACAGTTGTATTTTAATTACATCAGAAGCTGACAGATGTCTATTGCTCTGTTAATCTCTATTCTTATTTATGAATTTCAGAAATTTTGATGCAAAAGAAAATGCTTTGTTACCATCAAAAATGAACTTAAGTAGTAAAAGGCATTTTAATGACATTTTTACTACTTAAATAAACCTTAAGTTTTGCTAACACATTAAAAGGAAACAGTTCTTAGTTTGATGTTTTCAGTATACCATTTCAAAATGCCATGCAAATGAGAAAGTAAATTATTTAGTACTTAAACTGCTTCTCAAAGACCATTAATTTTTACAAGCATGAATCTAGAATTATATTTTAAGGCATAAAACAAAGCTAAGCAGCCATAGAGAAAATAATAAATGCAACTGAACACTTAAAACTGTCATAGAGATGTCATTAAAATTATTTAATCCAAAAATTAAATAACATACTCCATGGTTTGTATTCAAAAGATTACATATTCAATATCTGAATAGCTCCAAGTTACATTAAAGGCCTCAGTTTAATTAAAAAGAACATGAAAGAAATGAAATGGAAGATAAAAATCCTAATGCACTAGCATAGCTCTATATACAGTAAATTAACCTAATCTTAAACACTGCATGGTACACTGAAAAGCAGAAGCTAAATGCCAGGACATACCAAGATTTGACTTTTGTACATAGCTTTACAGCTGGCATCTTGCCTCCATCTCCTTTTTTTTTTTTTTTTTTTTGTGAATGCAAAATAAATCACTCCTGCCATGTAACCTTGGCAGTGGTTTATCGTTTAATTCTTTACATTATAAGTGAATTAATAATGTTATATGTTTTAGTATATGTCTTAGATCTTATAATTTGGCAATTAGCCTTGGATATGCGTAAAAAATTTACCTCTTAAAGACCTTCAACCAATTTACAAATACAAAAAAAAAAAAAAAAAAAAAAAAGCAAAAGAAAGGTCATTGCCTTCCACAATTAGAGATCATAATTACTCAGTTACCGAGCATAAGCTCAGAGGCTGGATGACAAGAGGAAGCATGGTTCTTGACAATCTATGGTAAATGAATTCTGAAAAATAAAATGAACTCCCTATGAAAACTTATGGTGATATCAAAATTTTAGATAGAACCTTTTGCAGTTTACACCTAAAGTAAACAAAGTTCACCTTTTAAAAGTTTATGAGCTGCTCATCTTGCTCAATACATGCTTGGCCTGCAATTAACCCCTCTCTGTTTCAAGAAAGATTCACTTATTTACCCAGCTCCTGTAGTTCAGTTGGATGTATCAGAACAGACATCTGCAATTCAATTCTGGGCATAAAGTGTTCATGAACGTAATGTATAAGACAAATAATGAATCACTATATTTAATACCTGCATCATTATTTCAAGATCTCAACGTATCGCATGTAAAATCTATACTCTTTCATAGCAGGAAACTTTTTTTAAATATTGTTAGAGGGCTATTTCATTTTACTTTTGATAATTATTTTGAATTTTTTATCAAGTAAAATTGTATTTTTGTTTTATTCTGTTTAAATTTTTATGCATTTCATAGATAGTAAGACTAAATATATTTAATAGATGGTAAGTAAAAACAATATTCCAAGTACAAAAAAGTAGCACTACTTGTATTTGACAAAAATTTCCAGAACCTTATTGATTTTAACATAGTAACAAAATTTATGAGCAACATCCATTAAAGTCAGCAAAAACTTTTCTTTTAGCACCATAAGCAATCAGGAAATTTAAACTAATAAATATAGGCAACTATACATTTTTGAATTTTTGAATAAATAATTTATTCCTTAAGAGGGAGAATGCCTCAACTGAACTTAATCATTTTAAATAGCAAAGCTATGGTAAAGCTGAAAATTTATAAGCATTTGTTACAGATACACAATCAACTCCCATTTAGCAAGGGTAATACTGAGGATGATATCAATGGTTAAGTCAAAATCATTCTTAATCGAAGGGCAATTAAAAAAAATGCAGAATATTATAATAATCAGTTTTATAACAGCAGAAAAACACTTAACAATTTAGCTATGTTTTCAAGTCATCAACCTGAAGAATAATTTGGTCATTTAAATTAGCACGTAAAACCAAAAGAATATATTATAAACAATGAAAGAATTAACATCATTAGAAAAGAAATGACTAACTAATAAATGACATTACATATAGGGGAATATTTACAAGAGAACTTTGAGTTCAAATGAGTGTAAAAATTTGTTTTTGACACAGTTGATGCTGATGATTTGCGATAGTAATTTTCCATTGCTCTACAGTAAACAAACAACTTTTTTTGGTACTGTTAAGTTAATCAGGAGTTGACCAAATATACATCAAATTTATCTGGAAGAACCTACCACTTCATCCAGACAAATTACCTGGTGAAGAAACTGCATTTAAATTTAATATTTCTACATTGGTTAATACTTAACAACAGCCTAAAATAGCAAGCTGCATAAAAATGAATTGTTAAATAAATTCATTCATCAGTGCCAGACATCTTGTTAATGCATTTTTACAGCAGTGAAAAATTAGTTTTAAAGAAAAGCTGTACCTGCTGAGGGTCATGTCGAGAATATGGAAGCAGAGTTGAAACATGAAACATTATTTCAACACCCTGGAACTGTGTGTAAAATGCATAGTCACCAGTTAAACCATCATGGGTATCTAAGCCTCCCCTAAAACTAAACATATATTATGTTATTCAACAATGTTCTATTGTAAAGATTTAATAAATTTTAAGCACAGAATGATTAAAATGGGAGTAATAAATGTCGCAGAAGGATTCCCGCATACTAACATGTCAAGAAACATTGGAAACTAAAATCAAGGTATTTATATTGCATTCTAAAAATGAAAAGCAAATGCTACAAACTTGAAAAAAAGATATTAAATAGTTGTAAATCAAAGGAATGCTGAATGGCTGTTTATCAAACACAATCTTGCTGTCAAACTTTGAATTAAATATTGTTATAAAATGCTTTTTTTACAACTTTGCATACATTATTAAATTTATTTTGGCATTTGGAAGCTACATTCAAGATGTGAAATCTATAAATTTGGTAGACAATTACATTATTCCTTTAATCTAACATGTAATCTAGAAATCTATGCTATTTCACTTCTTTTTAATGATGAGCTGTCATATGTTGTGCATAGCACAGAAGAGGATGCTTTTAATAAGTATAGTCAGAAATTTTTTTTTTAAATTTAAAGCATCGAATAACAATTCACAGTACAGTATGAATATCAATGTAAAAATAAGTCGTAAACAATATTAAAATACTGCTTAAAGTCAGAATTATCCTTAGATTTATTTCCCTATTACAGCTGAATTGGCAAGGAATTTTAATAAATTAAAACTGTAGAAAAATAATTAAACACCTTTCATTGATTTTAGAAAGATTATTGATTGTAACATTTCCGAATACAGAATTATCAGGCCTATTTTGAGAAAATATTGAAAGATTACACTGTCTGATAAAAATGTAGCATATTTACAGCTGCATATAAAAATTTTTGTGAATTACATTAACAAACAGGACATCCAATATATCATTATATATACTGCTAAATTAAAAAATAATTTCTATGTAATATTACCTCATATAATAAGTTCCTAATGATTAAGTGCTGATTTTATATTCATTTGGTTATGATATCAATATTTTTTTTAAAATTATTTTTGAATGAAAGAATAACAAATGATTGGAATTTTTTTCACTATTAAATCAACTTTCTACAAGTGATAAAATATAATTTAGGTTTTGTTCAATTAACTAACTCCTTTCCAATAATCAGGCAAAAACGTTACATAAAATAAGAGTTTATTTTTAATTGAGTAAATACTAAGAGGGAAGGTCTCCCAAACTTGAATGCTCAGTTTTTCCTTTATCTATTCATATAGCTACATTCACACATATAAATCTTATCAAGAAATACATCACAGTAAAAAAAAAAAAAAAAAAAAAAAAACAAAAAAAAAAAAAAAAAAATAATTACCAGTTAAAATTTTATAGATAGTGAAAAAATGATTAAACATAGCTTTTGACCACCAATGGCAAACTTTCTCACAGAATTTTAAGATTTCATAAAATCTCCAAGACATGTTGCATCACCAAATACAATTATATATTTTCAGTTTCCTATTAACATTAACTGGCGGTTTGGGTATTATCTGTTTACAAAACTTACCTCAGTGGGTGGTCAGGCAATAATACCAATTTAGCTTTTGTTTTAGATTTAAAGGCCATTTTTAAGTTATTGATCATAATAATTATTAATTTCTTTATGAATTTATTTATTAGGCATTATTAGCTGTCATAAAACAATAATAAAATGTTGTTCTCTAGAAAGACTCATATACTTACTCGCCAAGGTTTTCAGTGTAATAAATGGTAAATGAAACAAAATGCATGCAGTAATCTATCTCTTTACCAAGCAAAGCAGTACAATTTTAGAAGTTATTCTATCACTCACGAAGAACATAAATGTTTAAGGAAAACATTTAAAAAAAGACATCCTAAGAAATGTTCAATCTAGATCAAAGAAATGGAAATACTGACGAAACTTGCAAAGGTAACAAATATATTAGGTTTGTTAGTGAGTGAAACTGGATTCAATTTAAATTTTAATGACAGTAATGACAGCAAGGATGCTTTGTATTTTGACCAAAAATTAAAAAAAGAAAAGAAATCATCCAAGACTTATGCAGCTTTCTTGGGAATCCTGTCATAATGATGAAGATGCAATAACTATCCAATCTTCTCAATTATCGATGCTATACTCAAAGCAGAGCCCTTTAGTGGTTATTCAGGAGTGACAGTTATGCCAAGTTTATCAGGTAATACTGGTGATAATGTTAACTTATTTATAAGTGATGATTTGTTTACTTATACGGTAGAAGAGGCAGATCATTACTATGAGTAAAATGTATAAGAAAACTTTACAGTGGAAATCTATTTACTACATTGTTGGAAATAAAGTTGTGGGTTTGTATGTCTTAATGGGTCAAAAAGAAATTTATGACTACTGCTTGACTGAACCATCCCACAAAACTATCTCTGCCCCAGAGTGATGAACAGATAATATTCTAGGCAAAACATATATCTTTCACTTTATATCCTTTAACTTATTTTTCATTATGTGAATGATTTCTTCTCTCTTAAAAAAAAAAAAAAAAAAAAAAAAAAAAAAAAAACTTACCCAGTAAATCCTCTTAGTTCTATTTTTTCACCTAACAGCTGCAAAAATTCTTCCATTGCTTTACTGTGCACTTCATTGCCAAACATTTCTTCTTCAGTTGTCTAAGGAAGGAAATGAGAAATTCCTAAATTACCAAATAACTCAGCTAAACTTAATGTATATAAAAAGACGGACTTCAGTATTTTATAATAGTATGCTGATAAAGGCATGTACAAAAAATTAATTTTGTTATAAATAAACTAATCATAAATTACATATACATATATGAATTGAAACTTTAATAGTGGCAACATTACTAATTATACAACATAAAAGAAAACCGGTGCTTTTTTTTAATGTATTATTTTGAAACATAACTTATCTACAATAAACCAACTCTCTCTTTCAATGCTATGTGCATGTGATAAGGTGAAAAAGGAAGTTAAAAAACCATATCCTGGAAATGATGATGTGTATCAATGGGTTAAAATAGAAATACCAGAACTATTTGAAATACAGAAATGGCTAAAAAATTCTCCTCACACTCGCTCGGATCTCTGTGAAGGAATTTCTTGCATCATATGATGAGGCTGGATGAGACATGGGCTAAAATTTAAATGCCAATAAAATCAGTGACTGGATTGTAGGTTATTAAGAAAATCTGAAGTTAATCAGAAGCCCAGCAGTTTGACAGTTATGATTATTCTCATAAATGACTTCATCATCCTACTGTACACCATACCTCAAGGACAGACTGAATGTAAAGCATTACTGATCAATTTTGGAATTAACTCTCTGAGTTGCATGACAGCCTTTATTCAGTCATGAGACTTTCTGTTACTTGATATATATATAGTAGCTCATAATTTAAAAATTTTGCTTTCTTACTTTCTTTGTGATGTAAATATCTTAATGAACGGAAATTTCTGAGATTAAACAAGTATCATGAGCAATTTAAAAAATCTGTGCCACCCAGAATGTTAAACTTGTGGATAGCACTGCAAAGGAAATGGCAACATTTTTTTCAGAAACTTTAAACTATTTAACTGGATAGTATTCAGATGCATGTTGTGCAAACTATTCTGATTGTTCACTCGATAGGGTTAAGATGCACTCAACCATCTACCATACATCCTCAGACTTAGAGCTTCGGTGACTATAGTTATTTCCCAAGACCATATTCATAAAAAAAAAAAAAACTCTTTAAATAGATTTCAAGGAAAATTTTCAGCCCAAATTAATGTTAATGACCCAAATAATTAGAATCTACGCAAAATATATAGATGTAGCTTGAAATATTTTAAGCTGACTCAGAGTCAGGCATATCACAGCAACAGAATTGATACTACAATAGGAAGCATCGGGGAAGAAAATCCAGATTAGTTTATTACTTTGAGAACCATGTATCTATTTGTAAACAAAATGTCCTTAAAACTTACCTGCATAAAAAATGAAATTACTGAAAGTGCACGGAAAAAGGGCTATTTGAAAAGATTATAAAAGGAGTACACAACAAGTACCCCTCTGCAATACGAAAAGAGGCTTATACAGTTAATAAAAGGCCCCCTCTTTGGCATATAAGCTCTTAATTATGATTGAGTTTAAAAGATATCTTAAGAAACAGAAAATATCTAAGAAATATGCCTCCTTTTTTTTATTCAAGAAATGAGATTCTTTAGACAGTTTTCATGATACGGAAATAACATATTTGAAACAACCAGATTCATTGCTTACCACAAAGAAGCTTCAAAAGCTTTATCTTCTTCAAAAGATTTTCTTGAGATAATAGATATTTTAAGTCATATCAAAATGTTACTAAACGGCTATGCAAAGGATACAACAAAATTTTATATCTTTAGTACCGCTTGAAATGAAATGGTTTGCTATAAAACAAACAATTCAATTTTTTACACAATATTTAAAACATTTTCCTATAACAAACCTTCATAACAGTTAAAACCTGCAGATAATTAAAAAATTTAATCAGCGTCAACAGATTTTTCAAACTACATGTGTAAGCATTTACTTCAGAAAGGATATATTTATTTCACATAAATTTGTAACCAATCACATCACATATTTCTTTAAATGTGTTTGAAAATACTCACCTATATAATACTGTGAATATTCCTTCTCACAAAATTATTTCTATTTGAAATATATAACAGGAAAAAATTTAATTGTTGCTAATTAACAACAAAAAATAAGCAAAAATGTGCAAAACAAGCTTAATTAGAACTGCTAATATATGGAAAGTACTATGCCTTACAATCAAACTATAGATTACTTTGTCAGTGGAGTACTCTTACAACTCAGCAACCAAGAATAATGCACAAAATTTCTAAAAATTCTTGTCTCCACTTAATGATGCTATGCTAGCATAATACAGTTGGGTATTCACAAATTACTCAACTAAGTTGACATTGAGAGCTTAATTTATGGTAAATACTGAAAACAAGAAATACTTACTTGACCAGGCTTTTGATATATCACACCAAACTTCATTTTGTTCACTAAACCATGTTCATCAAAAGCCATAATAAGCTCAGAAGCCTAAAAAGCAATAAATATTCAGTAAAATAAAAAGACAAAATTTTAAAAGATGACAGATTAAAAAAAAAGCACTTTCACTCAAAACACATTTCTATAAAATCCAACTATTAATATAACTCTGGACAAAATTTGTATCTATTTTGAACCTTTATTACTCATATTAAAATTAAAACAGAACGCACTAAAGAATATTCAGTTATGAAGTATATGCATGTCACCTGTAAAAAATCGAAACTAAACATAAACAAATAATTTCAAAAATATGCAAAAAGGCAAACATTTGTGGCAAAACTTGAAAGCTAAAAAAAGTTATCCTTCCTTGTTGAAATGCTTTTTAAAATATTTTTAAACCTATAAACTTAATATAAGATTTCTTGGCTTGAGCACATTCATACAAATCAATGTGTACTGATATGTTTACAAGAAGTAACTGAAGAAACAAAAAGGAGTCCGGCTTAACTTAAAGAATTACATGACATTATACATGGATGAACGTTTCAAGAACAGTTGTAGATAACTAGCTTCAAGCATTCAGTAATTACAAAAGACTTTTTTAATGCAACTTATAAAAAAATATTAATAGCAGACATCTATAATTTTCACTTGTTTATTTCACTTGTCTCAAGTTAACTTGGAGTACAAGCATGATAAAACACAAGAGCATTTTTATCATACATTATATATAGCCAAGTGATTAAAACACAAGTTTTCTTGAGACTAAAGAATTTATTGGAAACTTAATCTGATGAGAGGTAATGAAGATTGCATTATACTTAACAATGTGAATGTTAAGCTAACTTTTCTTTCTTTTAAACTGCTGATCTTCAAGTTGTAATTTCTACAATACTAGGAAAACGAATTCTCCATACATAAAAAAGATACGTTTTTTATTAAATCAGACAAATAAAAAGGTTGTCAGGAGAAATAATACTTCTTTTGTTAATAGCATACAAAGGTATAGCCTACAGATGCACGCATTGCTTTTTGTCTTAAATGTATTGCAACATATTTATGGCCATTCAAAGGTGAAGTCAATTATTTTTGCTCACAATCATCTTAAGTAATATTAGCTTTTTAAAAAAAGTTGTGAAATGATGCAACAAGCTGAGAGTATGGTAAAGCTATTATTTTGGCTACTCAAAAAAATAGAAAATGATAGCCTTCCCTTCTGATAATTTCTCTGCTTTAAAAAATATTTTTAAAAAAATTATTAATTTCAATTTGTTTTAAGAAACAATTTTCATTCAATTCTGAAAACATTTTGCTTTTTTTATAATTGAAAAGGCTTTTCATTTCTTAGATCTTAAAGTAATTGTCAATTAGACAACTTCTATGAGTGAACATTAGTAGTCAGAAGTAAACTTTCTGAATGCAAAATCTGATTCGTATTAATTAATTTGAACTCAGATGAATTTTGTGCTTAGTTCACAGCTAGGATTTGAATTATGATGTACAGTCAAAAGTCGTTAATCCGGACTCGTCGGGACTTCGGCGATTCCGGATTATCGATTTTTCCGGATTATAGATCATCAGTTTAAATCTCGTAAGATGGCATGCAGAAATTCTAAAATTAAAAATATGAAACCGTAATTTATGAAATAAAGAAACAATTATGATCTAAAGGGTATCAAAATTTGCAAAAAAAAAAGCTTATATTTATTTGTTTACTTTATTAAACATTTCTTTCAATAAAGTTGTTTAAGTTTGCTTCGTTTCATGTGATAATACTTTCTCTTAATTCTATTAAACAGACATAATTTCTTGTTCAGTTACAAAGTTCCGCCGTTCAAGTCCTATAATTGCTGTGTCAAGAACACCGACTAATTTATCAATCGAAATTTTTTGTTTTCAATAACCTCTGTCACGTTTCTTCGCTATCGGAAGCGAATTATAATGATGAGGAACTTGTTTTAAATCATATCAAAGACGGAGCATATCGAGATGATGAAATACTACATTGGTAAGGAATTATAAGCCAATAAAATAAAAACATCTGCGCTGAAGATAAGGATAGTGCTGACAAATCAACTTCCAATTCATTACGCGCCCGCCGCCGAGCAGCGTGAAATTGATAAACAGATTTCAGATTTCAGAACATACTTTCGCTTTAGATCCTTTACATATTAACAAATATATATCGTAAATTCTATTTGATATAATCGAAAGTTTAAGCTTACCTTTATAAAATTGCTCTTACAGTCTGCAAAAAATAATAAGCCGGATGCAATTCGAAAATTAAGGAACAACGCAATCATCAACATTAACTGAAATAGATAATTAGATAATTTTAGCTTATACGTCCATTATACATAAAATGCGCACGCTAAAACGTATTCTGCACTTGCGCACACTCATATGCGCAGTCGTAAAAGGTCTTACGCGCACGTGTGAACACCTCTGCGCATGTGTCAACGCGGCGCATGCGCAGAAAGTTTTTAGTTTTGATGTCCGGATTATAGATCATTCCGAATTATGGGTGTCCGAATTAACGACTTTTGACTGTACTACACTGGATAATGCAAGATGAAAACTGGTTGTGAGATCTTGATAAAGTTTCTGACTAAAAGGATAAGAGGAAATGCTTGCAGAACGATATCACATATATATCTCTTTCTTTACGGAGAGTATTTCATTAATGATCATTCACCAAATACTTTGAATATGAGCACTCACCTTAGGAAATAACACAGCAAAGAATTTTTCTGCTGTAATGTCATCGCATAAAATCTGGAACGCCAAAAACAAATATGATCATTTAAAATTCTTCTAAAAAGAAAATGCAGGTAATGAAGTGCATGCATACTAATTACATAATAAATCATATAAAACAGGAGCCATGATTAATAATATGCAATAAAAGAATGTTTCTTCAAGCACAGGATCAGTAATGCAAATAAGTACACAAAAACGAAATATAAAAATCAAAAGGCTTGATGTAGAACGTATGTACAAAAGCAGGTAACTTATGACTGGAACACACATAAACTGCGCTTTAATGCTTAAACAGGGATAGCTTCAAAATAAAGGCTGTTTAAGAACAATAGATTTTTTTTTAAGGAAGGAAATCACAAAAACACATATATATCAGTATTTTTTTTTACCTAGAAATTCAACCTATGGTACAATGATCAGTGATTAGTATGTTCTCATACCCTATGAAATTGGTAAAGGTTTATTCATAGCAAAAATGATAACTGAAAATGGCTTTTTGTTATTGATGTGATGTAGATGGAAAAATATTTAATAAGCATATATAAAATTACAGTTTAGGTAAAAGCTTTTATATAATACGGAAATAATGTGTTTATCTTTGTTGAAATTAGTATTCTTTGACTATCTCTGAACACAATATTTATGATTATATATGCCATAATTTATGAAAAAAAGAGCAATTATGATCTAAAGGGTATCAAAATTTACGAAAAAAAAAGCTTAATATTTATTTGTTTACTTTATTAAACATTTCTTTCAACATGTGCATGCGTAAAACATACATTACGCATAGTCGAAATTAGAAAATTGCAACCAGAAAACTATTTGATTTGTATTCGTGATATTTATAATGACGAGGAATTTGATTTAAATCATATCAAAGATGGAGTACATCAAGATGAAATACTACATTTAGTAAGGAATTACAAGCCGAATAAAATAAAAACATCTTCCCTGAAGATGAGGATAGTGCTGACAGATCAACTGGGCCGACGAGGATAGCGCTGCAACGTCCCCCCCCCCTTCGCAGAGCAGCGTGAAATTGATAAACAGATTTTGGAATAGTTAGAGAAACAAAGGATATGCCTTTATCCATTTTTTGCAGCAATTCCACTTTTTGTTTGATGGACATCAAAACATGCTTTTGCTTTGTAGACCCTTTGGCAGCTCCAGAATCGGAAATTCTTTTTGACATAATTGAAAGTTCAAGCTTATTTTTATAAAATTGCTCTAACAGTCTGCAAAATATAATAAGCCGGATCCAATTAGAAGATTAAGGAACACTGCAATCTGCACTTTTAACTGAAATAGATAATTAGATAATTTTAGCTTAGCTTATACCATCTGTTATACATTAAACGTGCATGCGTAAACGCATTATGCATGTGCAGAAATGTTTTAGATATGTTTTCGCAGAATGTTTTCAGATAATGCAGATATGTTTACTCAGGCACAGAAAGTTTGTAGCTTTGAGGTCTGGATTATAGATCATTCTGGATTCTGGATGTCCGGATTAAAGACTTTTGACTGTACTAACAAAATACATGAAAAGAATATCACATTCAACATAGCAATAAACAGAAGTTTAATTATAAAAGCATTTCTCAAAATAATCTCAATTTTAGAATACATTAGGTGCACATGACAAGAGTATACACTCACAACCTAAGAGAAAAATTACTCATTTTTTGTTAAAGTTATTTTTAGTCTTTTAAAGTAATTCATTTGAACAGCATATTTTTAACATTTTGTGTATGCAAGAAAACAAAATGAAACATCTTGTGCCATATGAAATTCGGAACATACCTTTAAAAACAATCTAGACTCCCAGCACATACCTGATTATGTGATGTTTAGTACTGATGGTTAGTCCCTTGCCAGCTGAGCTTTGGCATGTGCCATTTAAAGGACACAGAAATGTGTTTTGACTTATCTGAATCTGTAGGTATTTAGAAGAATTAGTTTCTAAAGCTAAAAATGTCTCTGTAATTCTGAATTATTATTATCTGTATTGAGTATGAAGAAAGACAACTGATTTACCCATCATAATGCAGCTTTCAAATCTAAACAGTCTAATTAAAAGACCATCACCACAGAGCGACAAACACAGATCAATTTTGAATTAAACACTATATTGCAATAAGAATGGAAATTCTACACAATTGAGATTTTTTATGTTTTAGAGATTATGATATACATCTTACTTTACAACTATAAAAGACAGAAAAAGCTAAATTTTAGGCTTGGTTGGTTATTTCATTACAGCAATTTATGCAAGGGCCATCTGCCTTTATGGAGCACTTAAAAGAGAGCTACATTTACAGACGGCATTTTACATGATTTAGTATATTTTATTTAATTACGGCAAGGGACACTAAGGGCTATCTGCCTAAGCGGAATGATGCCTTCCTGTAGAACATTCTAGTGGAAATGGGTCATCTACATGTTACACACGGGGAAAACCACAAAAACGCCCATGCAGCCAGCCCATTTGCTTGGAATAAACCCAAGTCGAACCTGTCAGTGTTTAGCAAATTAACTACTCGACTACACGTGGACCACTTTTCATGTGGACAAATTTCCTCAAATTCATACCAGACATTGACAAACAAACACACACAAACACACACACACAAACACACACACACACGCACGCACACACACACACACACAAAAAAAAAAACACTAAGTATTCTTTTTCTTTTTTAGGAAATTTGGTCTTCCTATTTTTCAGGAAAACACCTAGTACTCAGAAACTATTGGTGGGTACAACATTTTATGGACTTGCATTAAAAATTTTAAAGCACAAAATAAAAGATAGAGTAGAAATAAAATGACACAATGTATGGTAAAAGGTGAAATTTATTACAATAACTTGTTTCTAGTTGCAGAATTTAAACAAATCAGGACTTTGTAAAGTAACACTTGGACAACAATAACTGTTGCTATATCACCCCACACAAAAAGAAATGTGCCATATCTGAGCAATACACTATCTTTATGGTCACTAATTTCAAGTGTGCCCTTGGTAAGGGCTTCTATGTCAACAGGCCCTTATGTCTCAAGAACATAACAATGAATGTTTAATTTATAAGAACTGGTACTAACAAGCTATTCAATTTTATTTCAGTTTACAGGAAGTGGATTGAATGAGACTGAAATCCAATGTAAACCCATGCCATAATGCCAGGTGAGAGATTAATATGGCATAAAAACATTACACAGTTCCTTCACTCTGTCACTTCAATGCCACCAGACATGGATGTAACCACCATGCTGCTATATAAAGTGGAATTCACATAGAAAAATAATATGTCTCTTCCTTTGCAACAAAGACAGCCACATGCACCAGTAATGTGCAGTCAAAAGTAGCCAAAGCAATGGGTATTGAGTTTCTGTAAACTGTAAACTCTGTTGAAACAACATATTTCCTATACAAAGAATGCAAAACACTAGCATAAAAGTACTATAAAAGGAACAGAAAGCTATACCTAATAATATTATTTAATGACACTATAGATCAAAAATATTCAATCCAGATCTACAAATTTGAGGATAATGAATTAATTACTGATTATATATTACACTATAAATCTTTCTATTGTGTTTTTAAACAAAAGCACAGCTAATGTAAAGATTATACTCACTTTAGCAATTTTTAGGGCTTGAAGAGATTCATTTTCAAAAGTTAAAGGAATCACATGACTGATTATATCATGCTTTCGTCTAAAAGAAATATATAAACTTATAGTTAACAATCAAACATGGATAAAACTGTAAAATAAAATTGCAAGAAGAAAAAATGCAAAGAAACAAATTCAATACTTGCCGTAAAATAATCCGCAGATGCTCTTGAGAGTTTATCTTTTCATATTTAACAGACATGACTATAGGGCCGACACTGCTATCATTCATAATAAAATTATAATGTTCCTACACAGAAGAAAAGCTTGAAAACTAAGCAGTTAATAAATTAAAATTGAAGAGAATAGTATATATTAATAGAAAATGAACTGTAACACTAAGCATATAGTGTTAAATTTACACAGATTAGTACTAAGTACAAACTAAAAAATATATTTACAAAATTAAGTCTCAGAATCGTAAAATACATATAAAAAAGCTGGAATCAAGCTTTTCAATACACGCAAAGCCTAAATATAAATAAAAATATTTCTTGGAAAATACAGATGAGATACAAAATAAAATATCAGTTTAGTTTTGCTAGCCATTGTACTCATTTTCATGCATGAAGACAAATTTAAATGAGGTGTTATTACTATAAAGGATTCCAATTACTATATGCACCCATGCATTTAAAAGAAAGTTAAAAGAGAATCATTTGAAGAGAAGCCGAGAATCGTAATTACTCTATAATCATATCATATTGTTATACACATTTTAACACTTTATTTAAGTCAAATTATCAAATGATTAAACAAATAGTCAAAATGTATGTGATATTACTCTCAAAACTTATTATATTTACTCTGATAAAAGCTACTTCATAACTTGGAATACAAATTTTTGAAAAAAAAAATAAATAAATGTGTAATTAAACAAATAAAAATTAGATATAATCATTCGTAATAAAAATTAATGTTTCACCATTTGTGAATAAGAAAAGAGTTATACTTAATCTAATTATACTGATTATGTGCAATGTATTCTGCAATTGGTTAAATCTTTAATATTAACTCCTTCACATTTCTTTTAGTTCAATTTACTCTGTAATTCTGCACACAAATAATGATTGGATATACTGGATTATGGCAAAGCACACTAGTGCTCTATACCTCAAAGGAGGGATGCCTTTGTGGAGATCTTTCCAGGGAAATAGGCTTCTATTTGCATTACACAAGGGAAAAGCCAAGAAAATGTGCATGCATCCAGCCCAATATATTCACCAGTTAAATTCACAGTGTTCAATTAATTGTCTTGCCTGCCTGGCCAACCACAAATAATAAAATAAATGATTTTTTTGGGGTTTGTGTGTGCATTAATAAAAATAAAAAGCAGTTACACTTAAAAGTAACATTTAAATAAGTCATTTTTAAAGATTTAAAGGAATAAGTATATGCATTTAACACATATCAGGTAAACAAATAATGGAAATGAGCAAAGCTCTAATCCTCTCGCCACATCCCATATTGCTAGCCCTACAAATGAAAATCTTAAGAGTAGACCAGAAAAAATTATTCACTTAAACACCGGTGAGCAAATTTTTTTAGGCTGCTAAAATGTATAGAAAATTTCCCCAATTTCAACATGGAATGCAAATAAAGCAAAGAATTACAATACATCTCTGAATCCAAGAGAATCCTCCCAGTTTTTAAAAATGAATTACAGAAAAACATGTATAGCAACTACTACATACGTTTTCTAACCTTAGATTCAAATCTCTGGTTAAAGGTCTTACCTAGTCCTCCTAAGTAGAATGATCCACAGAAACTGTGATACAGCTAACTGTCATTGTGGTCTTGCTGTTCTTCCCATGCTAAGCAAATGATGCTCAATGCTACACCACTCTTGTACAATATCAAGAGTTAGTTCCAAATTTAACACTGCTTTTGCATTACTTCAGTTGTTTTGATTAATATGACATCATGGAAAACAGCCATTTCTTCTTTATATTTCTCATACAATACTTTTTAAGTATTCTCAAAATGTCCACTCTGTGGGCCACTGAAAGATTACCTAATTAAATGAACAATTTTAAGACATTTTTTGTCCTGTTGCCATCCTTGAACATTAGTTTTTGTGACACTATACTTCCTCGATGCCCCATAATTAATTGTTGCTTCTGAATAACTATGATTTTGAAATTTGCATCATACTAAAGCCTGCACCCTTTAGCAAAGTTCGATGCATAACTTTGTTGCTTAACACTACTATTCATTACAGATGGGTATCCATAAAATAAAGAAGAAAAAAAAAATAGCACATGTGTATCTTTTTTTTTTTTTTTTTTTTTTTTTTTTTTTTTTTTTTTTTTTTTTTAGTATAGTATATAACACTTTATTGTGAAATGGAAACTACAGGGTCTCACAAATGATATGAAAACTGTTTACTACAACAATCCTTAAACACTACCGTACAACAATGCTAAATAAACATGCGAATATGGCAGAAGGCAGAAGAGATTATTGGAAGCCCCAGGTACTGTCCAGTAAAGAAAAGGAAACCACATCATATGTTGTGAATGCAAGATTATTAAATGGGAAAGAGAAATTTCTGCTTCTCTAAAATGTTTCTTAAACTAGTTTTGAATAACATTAGCACAATAACACTTGTAAGGATTATAAGTTTTACTAACGTTTATTTTATTTTAAAACTTTACAGTCTCCTCTTGTTTTCCACTTCCGGCCAGAATAAATGTGGTTCGTTTTAGTATGCAAATTGAGCTTGCAAACTGTTAAGTATTTAAGTTGGCGTTTATCCAGAAAGGAATTACTGAGAGAGACTTCTCGCTACTTTATCTCACGTGCGCTTTTCAGTCAGCTGCTGTCCGCTTTTAAGGCCGGAATTTTAAGGCCATTGTATATTGCAATTTTATTCCACACATTTTTGATAGGTTGTTGAACAACTCTGAACTAAATTGTGTTCCACAATCTGAGACTAGGCGACATGGCATAGCAAATCTTAAAATCCAGTTAGAATAAAATGCTTTGGCAACTGTGTCTGCTAAAATGTTGTTAATCGGAATCACTTCCAACCAGTTAGAATACTGGTCAATGCAAGTGAGACACTAAATATTAGGTAAGGGTCCAATGAGATCAATATTCACATTACAAAATCTTTCTGAAGGCAGTTGAAAATCACTAAAACATGATTTTGTGTGTATTAATTTTACTTTTTTGGGAAGCCATGCAAGTCCAAAGCTGCAGATCTTTAAGGATACTTGGCCAAATAAATTTAGATGATAAGAGCTTTAAAAATGACTCAAAGGCCAGGATGCGCTGCGTTATGCATTTGATGAAATATTTTCTTGCGATAACTGTCAGGAATATATGGTCTGATATAATTTGTTGAAGTTTCACACCACAAAGACTTCCCAGAAGGTAACAGATACTGCTTGAAATTCAGGGAAATGGCTAATGTCTTCAAATTTTGCAATTCTTTATCCATAATTTGTTCATCTGCACTTTAACATAGTCGATCAAAGAAATTTCTCAACCTTCTATATGCTGTATATCAGTTGAAAATTGAGAGATGTATTGTAAATGTCTAAGTTGACGAGGTGATGCTTTTTCTGGCTTTTGTTTAAATGCAAAGATTATGGGTTTATGGTCTGTGAATATTTTAAAAGTTCTTCCTTCCAGTAAGAATTTGAAGTGTTTGTCGGAGAGCTAAATTCCTGGTAACTACTCTAATGCTTTTATGCTTTGTTTAATATTTTGGAATAAAATGCAATAGGTTTCTATCCCTTATCTGCAAATTGTTGAAGGACCACTCCAATCGCCAAGTTTGAAGCATATGTATATAATGAAAGAGGTAGTTCATGATTCAGGAATGATAAGAGTGCTGCATTGACTAAACCACCTTTGCATCACTGAAATTGTTCCTTAGCTTCATCTGTCCACTGAATTTCCTGTTTATCTTTTTTCCTCGCTTCCTTAAGGTAGTCGTGTAGGAGAGATTAGTTTTTGATGCATTTTTTAAATATCACCAATAACAATTAATACTGCCTAAGAATGTTTTGAGTTCGTGAATGGTTGTTGGAAGCTTGTAACTAAAAACAGTTTGGACTTCAACAGGTAAACGTTGTGATTCATGAGGAATATTTAAATAACCCAAGAATTTTAATTCTGGTGTGCCAAAGATGGATTTGAAAATGTTAATGCAAAGTCCATAGTAATTTTGTAGAGTCATTAGGTTATTTCGAAGTAGGAGATGTGAAAAATGAGCAATGCCCTTGCCAGAACTCTAACCACAGACCACTCAAATTTACGTTGAGCGTGCTGACCACTACACCATAAAAGCATGCTAAGAAGGCAGGAGAACACCTTATATACTCCCCCCTTTTAAAGGACAACTGGGGTTTTAGTGATTCCCAGTCACCAAATCCTGGTGGTGAAGAATCATCATTCATCACCTTTTTAGTTTGGAGGCCACTGTAGAGACATTAGGAATTTTCGAAGCAGATGATGTGAAAAATGAGCAATGCCCTCGCTGGGACTCGAACCATGGGCCTCTCGAATTCGTGTTGAGCATGTTGACCACTATACCATGAAAGCATGCTAAGAAGGTGGGCGAAATACCTTGTAATTAAATCTTTCAAATGGATTCTGTGTTGCTCCTCACTAGCAGATGCCATCAGAATGTCATTTAAGTAGGGAAAAGCAAAATTTAGACCAGAAAGAACTGTATCTATAAATCTTTGAAACATTGCTGGTGCATTTCTCAAACCAAAGCTCATGACATTAAAAACATACAATCCAAAATGAGTAACAATAGCAGTTTTACATCTGTCTCCTTCGGCAATGGGCACTTGACAGTAGGCTTTAAATAAATCTATTTTTGGAATAAATATTTGTAGAGTTTAAAATATGATGGAAGTCCTTTATCCTAGAAATAGAATATCTATCAGGAACTGTTCTATCATTTAGCTGTCTATAATCTCCACATGGGCGAGGAGTACCATCTTTCTTTTAGCACCACATAAAGAGGACTTGCCTACTGAGAACTTTACGGTCTTATGTTATTGTCCAACATGAGTTGGAACTCTTGCTTAACTACTGCAAGCTTTCGAGGATCCAACTGTCTCGATTTAAAATGCACAGTTTGACCATGTGTTATAATATGATCTTGAACATTATGTTTTAAACCTGATAAGAACAAATTTGGTTTGCATAAGTCTGGGTATTGTTTTAGAAGACTATTAAATTTTGTTGAATGGTTTACAGTAACAATATCACTATTTTTACTGATAGAAGCAGTTTCACTAGTTACCTTTAGTTGAGTTACGCCATTAAACAGTTTCTTGCCATGTAAATCAATTATTAATTTAAATTTGTTAAGGAAATCAGCTCCTAAAATGCCTTTATTAATTTTGGCTACTATAAATGGAAACTGGAATTCACGCCTAAGTCCCAAATGAAGTGGTAACATTTTTATACCATATGTTTCGATTTCGGTACCATTTGCTGCTTACAACTTGAAATCCGCAAATTGGTTGTCTTGTGTTGAAGTGGATAAAATGCTAACGTCTGCGCCACTATCCACTAAGAAGTGCACTTTTGATTTTTTTAGATCTGATAAATAGGCGAAATTGGTGACACTCTGGAACATTATTGACAGTACAGCTTGCCGCCTCCTTTACTGCACAATGTCGTTTCCCTGATTGGATGACTTATCAGTTGACCAACTGCACAGCTGAGTACATTTATCCTGATGACATTTGTTACCAAAACGGAAATGATAAAAAGAATATTTTCCTTTAGGATTAAATCTTTCCTTAGTAGTACTGCGAGATCGTCTGCGGGACTGAGAGTTTTTCCTAAATCGTGGTCTCGATATATGATGAACAGTCATTTTGGCAATTCACTGTTCAAGGGATTTAATTTTCATTAACAGTTCTGTATTTGAGCAATTATCAGCTGTTAATGCACCAAAAATTTGATTAGAAGGTGTCATATGTGAAATTTTATTAGCCATGGTCACCAACTTTGGTAATTCTTCATCTCTAACAAGTTGTTTTTCCAACCAGAAATTTCTCCAACAACAGTGTTTTGATTAACTTTTCGGACACATCCAATGTTGCAACAGATTTAAATATGTGTAATAATTGACTGGGTTTCAAGTCGCCTAAATCAATTCCTGTAAGAAGTTTTTTAATTCGAGTAATTTCACTTTCCTTAAATAAATCCAGAAGCCTTGTTTTGGATTCTGAATATTTCGTTTCAGATTTACTTGTTACGATATCCCAGATGTTCTCAACATATCTGGGTTCTAACTATGATACTAAGGAGTTAAATTTGGTTTTCTTTCAAAACAATTCCATTTATCTTAAACTGAGCCTCAACTTGAAAAAACCAGATTTCTGGGCAATCCAACCAAAGTGGAGGAATTTTAACATTTACCATACACAGTTCGTGTGCAGTATCTTTAACAGTTTTATTGCCTTTAGACATATTCACTTTAAAATCAAAATTCCAAGTCACCAGTTATAAGCTCCCGACTCCAAATTGATCTTCATAATTAGAACTTCATTTCTTTAAATAACTTTAATTCACATTTTTTAATTTGGAAATAATCTTTATTAAAGTTCTTAGCAACTATAAACAATTCTTAGAACAAAATTGAAAAATCTTTTTGTTGCCATTCCAGTGATTTTGCTGCAGGGAACAATATTTCTGTTGGGTTGATTTCAAAAGAAAATTTATCAAATCAGTTTTGTTATTTTAGTCAGAGTACACATACACACCAGTATATGCATATCCTGTGAGCTAAAAACATTTAACTTTTTATAAAAAAATATCTTGATGAAGCCTCACATGAGTAATAAGGGAGGAAGAATTGCAAAAATGATTAAAATTGGATAGCAATCGAGCATATTTAGGATCAGAACTGTTATGTATTAGTAAGATGTTTAACCACCTCTGGCAGCAATGAGGATACATCTGGACTTGTACAAACATCAAGTGTAACTGGTCAGCGCTTTTATGCACACTGCAAGATTATAAAATAAATGATATCCTGTTATGTCTTGCAGGTATTTAACTGAAGAAAGGAAAAAGAGATCTATCAAGCCCCAGATCTTTCTCTGGATGATTTAAAAGATTATAACTTTGCAGAAATTCTAGAAGGATTTCTCTTAACAAAGTTCCTTACCGAAAGAATAATAGTAACAATGCTGCTTTACATTTATTTTCTAGAATATTTTCCATGAGTATTTAGCATTACATGCAGACAAATATAAAATTAAGTATGTAATGATCAAAATGCATAAAAATAAAAATGTGGTATTTTTAAATAATGTAAAATATATGAAAGTCTTATCCAAATAATTTAAGGGGGTAATTCAAATTATTTCGACAAAATTGCATAAAAGAACATAAACATTATTTCTGCAAAATAAACAAATGCATATATATAATCATACCATATTGTAAAAATGTCTGCGGTACAGAGTAGCAGTTTCATCAATTTCAAGTAAAGTGGAAGAACTAGGAATAGTAGTAGGCAATTCAGATGAAACAGCATCATCAGTTTTCTTTTCTAAATCATGCACATTTTCTTCTGCATCTAACCGATAACCACCAGATGGAGGCAATAGAATCATTGGATAAGGTCCATCACTCTCAAGAACCTACATTATAATATTAGTAAAAATTACACTAATTGTTATGTACATACTTAGAAATAAACAGAATTTTTTTAAATTAAAATTTATAATCATATTAAAACTTAGTTCATATGACAGTTTAATTAAATTAATTTAGTTTTATAGCATTAATAGGTCCTTAGCCTATGTCATTATTCCTCATACAATTTAAAAAGATTCCATTTCAAATATAATTTTGACACAAGGAATTAGAAAATACTTTGTAAAGTTTAAATTTACTTTAAAAAATGCAAATTTTAAATTAAATATTAAAATATGTAACATCATAAGATTTAAAATGTGCCATAATGAAGCAATTCATTGTCAAAATAATTAAAATAAAATTTTAAAGAAAATAAAATTATACTTATATATATGTGCATATAAATTGCATTTTTTAGAAAAATTCACTCAAAATATTGATTTTTAAAAAATTCTCTAAAACCTTGGAAGAAAATATAAAAAAACATTGGAAGAAATATAAAAAACAAAAATGTGATATTTTTCAATAATGCAAAATATATGAGAGTCTTATCTAAATATTTTAAATATTTTAAGGGGGGTAATTGAAATTATTTATATAAAATACATAAAAGATTGTTTATGATAAATAAATATACCATATGCATAAACAAAGGCAACGGCATAAGGAGCAGGCAAGTAAATATATCTCTGAATAGTAAGGTTTTTTTTAAATAGTAGTATGAGATAGCCCAAAAGGAAATGTCATCTGGTGAGAACACAGAGTCCATGCCAGTTGCAATCATCAAGGATCTTCTGAAAATATGAGATCCAGGCCCTACTCACATGGTGATATCCCAGTCAAACAAGGTCAAGAGATTGACAAGATTTACTGAATGGCAATGCTCTATTTCAAGACACTGAAGATGATGTCTAAAATTTTAATTACATTCAGTACCTTCTTGATACCTATCCCGCCAGCCCAGGGAGGGCTGCAAAGGCAGATGTACAAGAAAGTCAATGGCAAATAAAACTTCCAGCTGTAGAGGGAGACAGAATTTATCACAATTATATGAACTGAAAAACTATCAGACTGCCCACATACATGATTAACATACACACTTTTGCTAACTAGCAAATAAGTTAATTCTTAGCTGCTGGCAACTGATATTCTTAAAATTCAATTTTTTTACAATTTTGTTGTTTTGAATATGCTTGGGGATGGATTAAAATTATTCCTATATAAGATAGTGTCTATAAAGTATTCTGCATAATGAAATGTTTTACTGAAGCAGGATATGATTGTTATGTAAAGCAACCCTGTATAAATTTTTTTAAAAAGAAAAAAACTATCAATGTTTATCTTTTTTTGTGTGTGCTGGGATTTATTAGTTTCCTAGCATGAATACACAAATATCTGTCAACTGTATTCATGATCTACCAGATCTAAGACATCGGCAAAGCTATTTAATTTTGATAACTGAAAAATTGTAAAAAAAATGACACATCCCAGCCACCACAAATTTAGGTCTTTTTTTTTTTTTTTTTTTTTTTTTTTTTTAAATGATTGTCTATGTCATAATACTATTTGCCTAAAGGAAAGGACATTTTCTTACACTTTCACTATATAAGAAAAAGTAATTTGTATTTATGTTTTACATGCAGTAAACCATGAAAACATATTCACAACTTAAGCCTCAGCAGAAAATAAAAAGATCTTTAATTTGCATTGTTTCCATTTGGATACAAAACACATCCCTGGGGGGGGGAAGTACAGAAGTTCATAAAATTCCAGTACAAAGAATTAAGTTCATTGTTTTCAATGGCAATGCAAACACTTGCCAGCATATCTTCTAAAGCAGCAATACTTACTTTCAACAACTCAAAGTTAAACAGTATCTACTTATTCAGCTGACTTGAAACATTTAAAAACAAAATCAACTAAAACATAGAAATTAGAAATATTTTTGTAAACGTAATTACATGTGTGTGTTATTTTTGTTGCCTTGTGTTATATTTAAAAATACAAGGCACATAGTGGATATATAGAATAGAGGACAGCTCAAGCTGTATGTATGGTGTCCAAACATTGAATAATAACCACAGACAAAAATAGTAAAAGTGGGAATTATCCACATGCTCACAATGTTAATGCATTATAAACTTTTTCATGCATCAAAGATTTTTTTATGCATACTGCTATATGTGAAGAATGCTGTTTCAAAAGCTGCCCTGCTTCTTTAACAAAAATGATAAAAGATACTTTTACATTTTGATTTTAGTACTGAAAATCAATCATAAATTTAATTATAGCTTATTTTAAAGTATTCAAAAATAACTATGGATTTAATATGAAAAAACACTTTAATTGCAGATATTTACAAAATTTAGAAGTAGTTATATACAGTCAAAAGTCGTTAATTCAGACACCCATAATCCGGAATGATCTATAATCCGGACTTCAAAGCTAAAAACTTTCTGCGCATGCGGCGCGTTGACACATGCACATAGTGCGCGTAAGACCTTCACGACTGCACATATGCGTGTGCTCAAGTGCAGAATACATTTTCACATGCGCGTTTTATGTATAAAGGACGGTATACGCTAAAAATTATCTAATTATCTATTTCAGTTAATGTTGATGATTGTGTTGTTCCTTAATCTTCGAATTGGATGCCCGCTTATTATTTTGTGCAGACTGTAAAGAGCAATTTTTATAAAGTAAACTTGAACTTTCGATTATGTCAATAGAATTTCCTATGCTGGAGTCCCAAAGGATTACAAAACGAAGTATGTTTCGATGTCCATCAAACAAAAAGTAGAATTGCTGCAAAAAATGGATAAAGACATGAAGAATGTGACACAGAGGTTAGTGAAAACGAAAAAAATTTCGAATTGACAAGTTAGTCGGTATTCTCGGCACAGCAATTAACGGGGACTTGAACAGCGGAACTTTGTAACTGAACAAGAAATTATGTCTGTTTATAGAATTAAAGAGAAAGTATTATCACATAAAACGAAGCAACTTAAACAACTTACATTGAAAGAAATGTTTAATAAAGTAAACAAAATAAATATTAAGCTTTTTTTTTTTTGTAAATTTTGATACCCTTTAGATCATAATTGTTCTTTATTTCATAAATTATGGTTTATATTTTTAATTTTAGAATTTCTGCATGCCATCTTACGAGATTTAAACTTATGATCTATAATCCGGAAAAATCGATAATTCGGAATCGCCGAAGTCCTGACGAGTCCGGATTAACGACTTTTGACTGTACTTACAAAAATGATAAAGCTTTGACAAATTATTTAGAAAAGCATTCAAAAATATGAAACAAAAGAAGACAGTTTATGCTCAAAATTATCTGAACATCAGTGAAGGACAGCGACTGATCATAATTATATAACATATTTAAGACCTCAAAAATCATTACACTGGAATTATAACAAATGTAACAACTTTGTTCACATCAAACGACTACAGCTGAAAAGTAATTTATCTCAGAAATATTTTGGCAAAAATTCATATTGCCTCAAAAATTTCTGCCGGATACTTGGGGGGGGGGGGATTTTACTCACCAGATTAACATGCATTTTAACAAATTGCATGGCGAATTAGGAACTAAAAATTTTGAGGGAATAACACATTTAACAGTCAATGGTGAAATAAAAAAACACACAACAAATAACACAAAGAACAATTAGTTGATGAATAGAGAAAAATGAGGAACCAAAAACTTTAGCAGAAAAGCTTAATGCATATGAAAGCACTCAGAATGGGAAATGGACAAGAATCACTAGTTGAACGAAAATTTCTATTAACAGCAGCAAGTAAGAGGAGTCTCAGGTTGAAGACTCCTTGTCTCTTCCATATGCAAAGAAAAGAGCTATATTTAAAGTTTGTTTCCAATGACGTTTTTACTTTATTTATAGAGAGAAGAAAGAATGTTTAGCTACAGCTTTAGCAAGTTACTTAATAAATATAGAAAGCCTAGTTACTGCTTCCAGCTTACAGAAAACATTTTTATACAGTTTTTAGACAATTCATACAAAAATGCAGAGCAAAGAACCATGAAAGAGATTAACCAAGGAAAAATGCAATTTTCATTAAAATGAAGATCAGCAAAAGACAATTCAATACCTTTAAAAATATTTGACCAATCAGACTGCATTAACACTGTACAAGCTGGAAACAGGAACAGGAGTGCACAAGGATGTGAGTAATGGTGGATTAGCAACAAAGTTATTACAACAAAGAATGAACAAAAAAGCAGCAATTGGGACAAACAAAAAACAATTATCATTGGAGTAAATTGAAATCAATGACTTATATTAGACTTAGAGTATTCTTTACTGTAATTACTTGGGAAATAAATGTCTGCCTACACAGGCTCAATAGTGCAGCTGAAAACTCTGTATTGCTTCAGGTCTATGCCCATATTGATCCTATCCAGGTAAACTTTAAAAAATATCAAATTAATCAAATCCTTTCCCTCTTGATTATGTGTTTCTTCTAATCATAATCTTCAGCTGCATTATTCAATGCACACTCTAAGCTGGTATTGTTCTTACACCATGTCACTGCAATGCTGGTGTCTATCCTATGCAGTTTGGTCTCATACCTGTGAAAAACTCTAAGGAGACAAATGTGTATTAATTTTAATCCATTTTGTGATATTGAACTAAAAATTAGTGTAATATGGGTTTTGTCCCCTCTCACAGGTTGCACAGCATGACAACATTCTGGACAGGAGACAGCTGAGGAGATCCTGTGACAGTGGATTCCAGTCCTGCAGCAAGGCACTTTTGAACTCCTGAATGGATCTCAGACAGGAATGGCAAGAAGAAATTGCCCTCCCATGAGTGTTCCAGATATATATCATAATGTTAAGGTCAGGAGATCTGGCTGGCCAATCCATGTGGCAAGCAGCTTCACTTTCCAGAAAATCATTGACCAGCTGGTCCCTATGTGGATGAGTGTTGTCATCCATTAACAGAAACACAGGACCAACTGGACCCAGGCCATTAATGGGAATGTAGGCCATAAGTACAGGAGAAAATTATTGATGCTATTAGGGTACAACATGTTTAGAATAAAACTAATAAAAAGTTTTTTAATTAAATGAAAAAAACTATAGATTGTATACGATGACAGAAGTAAATTTGCATATTCTATTCATTTATTGTAGTATTTATGTGTCACAATTCTCTGCTTTAACAAAACAATAAAATGCTGCCAGGTATGTTTGTTAAGCTGTGAATTTCTTTAATACCCTGAAAGAAAATACATGGCCAAATTCTAATGTGGTATTTAAAGGCGTAAGTAGATATTAAAATTCTAAAAAATGGTATTTTCACATACTGTTCCAAATATCAAAGACAGTTTAGCATGACTGAAAATCTATTTGGGAGGGGCATTATAAATCTTTAAAATACGTATCTCAGAAAAAAGAATTAATATTAATGACAGCAGAATAAAAGTTGAAAACATCATCACTCGAATGCTCTTTGAATTACAATGAATAAAACTGAAAAATGCTGCTAGAATATGTCTGAATGCATATGAATTGCATGGAAAAAACTATGAATCTGTTTCAGATTTTATTTTAGCATGTGATCTAGCAGACTGAAAATTGGAATCACTCTCATTATAATCAACCAGAATGTGAGGTGTCACTGGTCATTACTTTTTACATTTTATTATAGGCAAATGTGTAACAATTAGCTACCATTTCAGACAGATGAAATTTACAAATTATGACATTTTAGTATCAACTAATGATTACAAATTTTCAAATTACCTTTCGCAGCAAATCACTGTCACTCCTTGCTACTTCCGCGGTCAGCTGCTGATCTTCCACATGATGAGACTCGGCACCTGATATTGGCAACTAAAAGGAAGCAGATTAAAGATCAATGAAATTATGAGAAACTGATCTTTATGAAATACAGACACATGATGAGTATAAAATAGATCATTTACATAATACTTTGAATGCATCGTAAAGCTGTTTCATTGCAAATGAAATGTAAATAAATTTATTGTTAATATCTATGCAGACTTTTTTTATTACTACTTTAAATTTGCTTAAGCATTTTTTGCATCTTAAAGAAATTCAGTACCATTTACTGCAACAAGAATGCATTACATTATTCTTTATATGTTTTTAATGTGCTTTATTGTATTAACTTCCTTTTATATTTTTCACAGAATTTGATGACTATACCAGCATTACAGAAGATAAATATTTGTACAGCCAATAATGCACAACAGTCATTTTAAAAATCATGCTTTAAGACCAGGATAAAACTGAAACAATCTTATAACATAAGTTCTATATTATATTATCTTTTCTTGTATTCATTGTTCAAATATGTTTGATGAGAGGATTTTGAGCTTTTGGCAAATTGTGCGTGTTTTGCAGCATAAAATTTTGAAACAATTTTAGAATCTAATTCTGGTTTTTTAAAAAAATACAGATCTATTTTTAAATGAATGAAATATAAAAGATGTTCAGATACAAGGAAAATTATTAGATATAAAATTTCAACAAAGATAACCTTCATAGAAGAAATATGCATATTTTGATTAGATATTCCTAATCCCTACGGTTGTTTGCACAAAGCTGCAGATTAAAAAAATATGTATACAGTCAAAAGTCGTTAATTCGGACACCCATAATCCGGAATGATCTATAATCCGGACCTCAAAGCTACAAACTTTCTGTGCATGCGTCGCATTCACGGATGCGCACAGGCGTTTAAGAGTGCGCGTAAGACCTTTATGTCTGCGAATACGTTTGTGCCCATGCGCGTTTAATGTGTAACGGAGGTATAAGCTAAGCTAAAAATTCAGTTAATGTTGCAGATTGCGTTGTTCCTTAATCTTCGAATTCGATCCGGCTTATTATTTTTTGCAGACTGTTAGAGCAATTTCATAAAAGTAAGCTTGAACTTTCGATTATGTCAAATAGAATTTCCGATATATATTTACTAATATGTAATTTGTATCTACAAAGCGAAAGTATGTTTTGAAATCCGAAATCTGTTTATCAATTTCACACGGCGGATTGGAAGTTGATCTGTCAGCACTATCCTTATCTTCAGGGCAGATGGTTTATATTTTATTTGGCTTATAATTCCTTACTAAGTGTAGTATTTCATCTCGATGCACTCCGTCTTTGATATGATTTAAATCAAGTTCCTCGTCATTATAATTCACTTCTGATAGTGAAGAAAGTGACCCAGATGTTATTGAAAACGAAAACATTTCGACTGACAAATTAGTCGGTATTCTCAACACAGCAGTTATAGGACTTGAACAGCGGAACTTTGTAACTAAACAAGAAATTATGTCTGTTTAATAGAATTAAAGAGAAATTATTATCACATGAAACGAAGCAACTTACATCGAAAGAAATGCTTAATAAAGTAAACAAATAAATATTAAGCTTTTTCTTTTTGTAAATTTTGATACCCTTTAGATCATAATTGTTCTTTATTTCATAAATTACGGTTTCATATTTTTAATTTTGTAATTTCTGCATGCCATCTTACGAGATTTAAACTGATGATCTATAATCCGGAATCGCCGAAGTCCCGACGAGTCCGGATTAACGACTTTTGACTGTATCAATAATTTTTATCACAATCATTTTATTTCAATACTGCCTATAGACTGCAAAATACTGCCTATAGATGCAATTTATGTTTCTGCACATAAATACAACATATTACTTAACTTTAACAAAAAATGTAATTTAACAGAGTAATTGCTGAACAGGATTATTGTATATCATTTTCATGCACAAAATGTTGGTACTGTATGTTTTCCTCACATGAATTCTAGTGAAGCTACAAAATGGAAAGTCATCATCAAGTGGATACTAAGACCTTTTATACCTTACTGTAAAATTACAGTTTATTTAAGCTGTTGTTTGGGAGGACATAGAAAAGTAGTACAACACTTAACTGCTTCTGAAGGAATAAATGCAAGGATGGCTTTCTGAAAAAAATTAGCTAGTAAGAAATACTGCAGAAATACCAATATAAACAAGCAGTTGCTAAGAACCAAACATAGGATGAAATACTAATATTACTCAATTACTCATATACTCCTAATTAAGCGATGAGTAACTTATTTTGATAAATAGTATCAGTATCGAACAGCTGTGTTAACCACTCCCAAAAAAAGAAGTTTGTTTCACTAATTAAAACTAGTAAGAAAAATATAGTGTTTTTCATATTTGTGGCACTTTTCTTCATATCTTAACACCAGCGAAGGTAATGAAAGTTAAACTTGACATCAGTCAAGAATGCAGAGCATTTTGTGAATGATTGATCATGTGTAGAAGTAATGTTCAGTAAACTTGAAATATTAAATTTCTACCTCTTTAACAAATTTTATTATGATCTACAACAAAATCATGTTTTCAGCACACAATCAGGCACAATATTGTTAGTTTCACTATCTTAACTTCCTTTCAGACATCACATATTCAAACACAAACAGATCCAAAGCAATGCCTTTTATAGAATGAAAGGAGTATATATGGAGTATAAGCACTGAGATAGAAACTCACAACACACCTGATATTAGTTTAGAAAACAATATAAGTGATAAAGATTAAAAATGTGCAAATACAGAAAATCAAACTGAAACAAAGTTATGGTAAGTATTCTAAAGACTAAGCTTGATGAATTTTCTGATTATTCCTAAATTAGTATTTGAAACTTAAAGAAGTTGACTACACAGTACAAAGTTTTTAGGTTTAAACTTGATTAATGTAGTTGAATTCCTGGAATAAATAAATAAACACGCCTAGTACATTATATCTCCCTTCTCTACCTATATATATATATGTTCACTGTAAAACCTACACCAGGTACATAATACATGTATTAACACATTTTTCTGCGGTCCTCAGTTCACTCTGAGAAAGTACTAAAAAACATTAAGGCATATAAACAAGATCTGTGCTAAAAAAGAACACTTGAGATCAAAGAATATGAATGAGAGCTCCAAATAAAAATTCTTTGCTTGAGATCGTCTCTTTAAATAAATATTTTTTTTAACTGATGTTGAGGAAGTGCCAACCCATTAACAGATGGTAATAAGGGAAATTCAGTGAAGTGGGTATTTCAGAATTCTACAAATACCTGCATTCACAATTTCCAAAAAGCTGCAAATTTTATATGCAATTTCCAAGTTTGATAGTATGTATCAAAGTGAACAGCTTTTATCACTTACGAAAGGAAGTAAATCCTCAACAAAATACAAACTGGCTGAAAATTACTAAAGTGAGCAATATGAATCCATACATTTGAAAGCCAGTAGCAGGAAAAAAGATGCTGTGTGTCAGGGATGAATAGGTATCAATCTACTATCAGGATTTTTTTCCATTTTTTTTTTTTTTTTTTTTTTTTTTTTTTTTTTTTTTTTTTTTTTTTTTTAAGAATAGGGTAAATTTTTCTGCATTTATTCACTTTTTCAACACATCATTAAGTAAACTTTTTTTTCATCTTGCAGCACCTCCAATTGCAAAATGATGACTATTTGACCCACTTAAGGTATTGAGTTTGACATGCCTAACATAAACGAATGTCTTAAAATTAATTACCTCAAAATAAATCTGTTTTATTACTATTGAAAAGCTATTTTTAAAAGACATTAGAAAAACAATCCAAGAAATTGATTTTATTTATTTTCTAAAGCAGTAACTGAAACGTAGAAAGCAAGATATAAAAACCGAAGATCCAAAACCTCAGGCACACCTTACTAATAACATTTTCCATATGCCTAACTCTACTTGTAGTTACTAAGCATGGCACTGAATAAATGTGTTAAGTACACTGCTGCTTGCAATGCAGCCTTGTTTATTGAAATTCATTACAAGGCATCTCATGAAATCTGCATAATGTTCCAAAAGCATTCCAGCAATACAAGTCTTACAAAAACAGAAGACACTGGAGTATATGGAATTTAGCAATCATCACTATAGTGGTTCACCATCACTATAGTACATGATGCTGCAAAATGACTGCAATGGACCTGGATATGTCACTTCTATTCAAGGACTCGATTATAAAATTAAGGCCATCTGCTAATGGTAAGGATTGGTTAGATGCATGGTTTGAAGTCCAGCAAAACTTACATATAACATATGCAAATTTTGAGATGTATTTAAAGCAGCAAGCGTTAGCAAATTGGCAAGTCAGTAAGAGCAAAAAAGCAAATGTGGTGTTTTCAAGATGAAAACTTAGTTCAAAGTGATATGGTTTGCAAGTTTCCATTGCTGCAAAACGCGAAAATCAGAGTGAACAAATGCAGAAAGACGAAAAGTAATTTTATTCGGTTATTGCAAAACTGGAAATAAATGTCTAAAAAGAAGTAGATCAAATCTCATAATGTGTCATCATTCGGATGTAATCACCGACTGAATTTCGATAGAAGAGACATTTATTAAGAGTTCCACCAAGTACGTAACGGCTTTTATTTATTGCCATAATTGTTTCGGCTCCAGCGGCGCCGCATTCCGGAAAATGATTTAGCTTTGCCTCGCCAGCAAATGATTTTTCTCCTCCCCAACTCTGCTTGTTTTGTGAACACGCCTAATGCTGATCGCCGGATCAAGTAATGTATTTTAAAATGAATGCATTCCGAATATATTCGAGATTTAAGTCCATTTTAGACCAATGCATATGCGCCTTCGCAATTTCTCGTTAGTTTCAGCGAATCACGTACTTGAAGCAGCGAAGATTAGTTTTCTGTTCTCAATGACACCGCATCCATTAAAGGTTATATTTACTCGTAAATTAAAATACATGTCAAAGGTGTACGGTTGACACTATTGCACACTCAAAAATTTATAAGAATGATACATGATACATGATAAAGTATTTCAAATCTTCCATTCATAAAATATGCTACACCAAACGAGAAATTAAATGTTTTAGTTATTATACTAAAACGATCTAAGTACAAATAAATTATCAAATAATTCATTGACAATACGTGAATCATTTTCCGCATTTCTTGTCTCAATCGAGATAAATGCAGCTAAAAGCAAATTAGTACGTGCTTCGCTATTCACTCCCGGCTGCTAAAATTATAGATAGTTACAGGTACCCATAATAAAAAATTTTGTTTAATTTTAAACTACCAGGAAAGTTTCAATGTATTACAGTATTACATTCATTACAGTATGTTGATAATAGTACCGACTGTAAACGGTACCGAAGTTTTTGAGTTAAACAGCAACTTACTTGCAAAGAAGATGGTAAAACACATCTTTGGTCATCAAGTCGACTTTTTTGCAGCCTCTCGAGCAATTCAAACAAATCTTGTGTGCCCTAAAAATGCAAGATCCTATTAGAGTTAACAAGAAATACTAAAGACTATGAAAAGTGCAAAGCTAAAAAATTTTCGCATGTAATATTATTGTTCTAGGCTTATTTAATAATTAAATTAAATAATAATTATTAATTTAATAATTAAATAAATAATCCCTTACATAAAGTGTTCGTAAAATAAACACACATAAATAAATAAAAATATATTCAGTGTCCTGAAAATTTTCAGTATGTCAACATTTTGTATCCTCCAGTACTGATATCGCTTTGCTTTTCCCGCAGAACAGCAAGGCATTTAACAACAGCACGCAAAACATACATGGGTCGTCTAAATTGCATCCTTCTCATTCGCCAGACCGGAAATCATATCATAGAACTGCAGCATATCATTTATCCAGGGGTGGGTTCACCAAGAGATAAGTAAACAGAACTGCTGGATTCTGGTAGTTTCATCCCCGATTCTACTTCCAGAACGAGAAAGAGGTAACAGCGTTGCTGTTTTCACTGCTCTCCTTGATGTGTGATATAAACCGGTCACAATTTAGTTTTTCTTATCCATTCCTCCACGAAAACATCTTTCACAAGGTAGAGTACTCTGCTATAATTAATTATCAATTTACCTTCCTTAGATGTCAGATCAGAACAGATTCTTATATCAAATACTAAAATACTGATATTCTTTCCGTCAAAATATTTCACAAGTTCTTAAAACAAAATTCAAAACACTCACTGAGATAAACGGATAAGGTGTCTTTCTTAACCTGCACTGTACAATATTGATAATCATCAATTATTTATATCACAGTTATCGCTATATTTCAGTTAACAGAATAATCAAAGCACAATAGCGAACGAAAAATACAATAATACATAAACAGATCTTGAAAACTTAATTTGATATAAGCATGAATTTATTACTCTCCCCATATGCTTACATAACATTTCAGACATTTGTTGAAATACTGAAGTCAACTTTAACAATGGCTTCTACCTTTCAAGTTCTTGTCTGTGCCACAAAAAAAATTGAAAAATAGTCACATGTCATAGGACTTATGATAAGTAAAGAAAGTTGATTACTCCAATAAAATCATGCTCTTTACAAGAAAAAATAACAATTAAAAAGTTAATTTTAGATTACTCAGTGCAAAAGCAAGTTTATTGCAGATAAAATTGGTTACTCACTTTATTTAACTCTTCCGCATCCGTATCGTCAAGAGCCACTTGAGCGGACGCTTGCCAGTTCTTTTCCATCGACCTGCGTCTGAAAGAAAAGAACATACCCATTTTGTCACATCTTGCAAAAACTACTGAACATCACAATCTAGTGATTAACTTATAACACTGCATAAGCGAACAGTAAATACAAGACAAAAAAACGGCACTTAGGAAAGAAGTCCCAGACTTCAAATGGTTACCAAGCAATAAGTAGCGATAACAGGAACAGATAAAGTTGAAAAGCTTCATAATTTTATCTGGCATCTGTTTGTTCAGAATTTCGAATACTAAGTATGTTTATTTCCTTGTATTGAACAAAAGGTTAAGATTACAGTAACACTGAATTTATCACCGCAACTTGTTTCAGTTACTTTTGTATTTAATAAAATGCAAATAGGATATGATGCGCTGCTCAGCAAATGCAATATTCTTTGCGCATAAATGAGCATATAATAATACAACGGATATTACAACTCTAATCCACTTTGCAAAGGAACACTAATATTTATACGCATAATAGCACTTTAGTTCATTAACAATAAATTATATAAAATCTTTTTCATTGGAATCATAATAAAAACGAAGAAACTTTAACGCTATACGAAAACATACCTAAGATACGACACTCCAGTCTTACAACAAAAAGACAGTATTTTTATATTCTCTGGTGGATCAAGCTATTGTTACAGAATAATGTTATGCACAGTGAATATTCGCAAATACCTGACAATGTTTAAATTATATACATATTTTTTACTTATTACGTGCTCCGCCCTTAGGCACTACATGGAAAGGGACAGATGCCCCGTGGAGGTTTTTTTTAACGGAAACTGGCTCGTATCCACGTTACACATGAGGGAAAACCACGAAAACGCCCATGCAGCCAGCCCGTTCGTCGGAACTCGAGCCCCGGACTGAACTACCAGTATTCAGCGCTTTTATCGCTCGGGCGCTGGTGGGCTAAATTATATATTCATACAGAATTTTTCAAAACTTAGTTCGCCATACACTTTGCCTTTTACGCAATTAAGAACAATCTATATTAGGTTTACGCCATTCTTTTCTTAGGTGATATAAGTAAACTGATGAAAACCTAAAAGGAATTGCAAACGGTTTTGCAAATATAAGCAAATTTTATATAAGCTATTTTTCTACCTAAAATTCCAAACTATACAGCAAAGTAATAAAAATAAAGGAAGTAAAGTTTAGATATACTTACATCATAAACTTACAAAATTTACTTAGTTTAATATATTAGAATCCCCTACCCCCTAATAATCCGCATAAACGCTAAAGACTTTAAAAGACTGTTCTGCTTTATAATAACTTTAATTACTACAGATATGCTTAAAATATTAGTAAATACTTACAAAAAAATGGAAATACAAACAGTGAAGCCTAAAAAGCGAACAAAGTCGCTGAATAAAATATTGCCACTAGCAGTTAGATAAAAGCAATCATCAGAATGTTATCAAATCTGCAGTTAACTTTAATCTTTAGCGGGTGTGCACGTGCGTGTGATTATGGCAAAGCCTCGAGGGCTATCTGCCTAAGGAGAGGGATGCCTTCGTAGAGTAATTTCTAAGGGAAACTGGCTCGTACACACGTTACACATGTGGAAAACCATGAAAACGTCCATGTAGCCAGCCCGTTCGCGGGATTCGAACCTCGGACCGAACTTCCAGTGTTCAGCGACTTTACCGCTCGGCCGCTGGTGGGCCTTTAATCTTTAGCAATCTTGCTTTTAAGCAAGAAAGATGAGGACTTTTACGAACGCCGTTTCCTCCAGTCTGTGAGGCTTGGTAAGTTAGAAGAAGTTGGCGAGTAAAAAAAAAAGTTAACTTTAAATAGGAAACAAATGCATCATAGTAGCTCATGGTTAAAAGCGTACGATTTTTTTTTTTTTTTCTTTTAAAACCTAAGGAAGCGTACAACGGTTTAAATTAAAACTAATCTCAGAAGAATTATTTACTGTACAATATGAATTAATAGAAATTTATTCAAATAAAATTTTTGAAATCACAAAATCAGAATGAACAACTACCTTCAGGCAACTTTCAACAATACAGATTTTAAGGTGAGGCCCCCTATTTCGTTCCTAAACGTAAAAACGAATTACTTTTAGAAAAATTTTCGCAATGACGTCCCACTGAACGCACGTTATCTTTGCCATAATAAGTAATGTAACCTAATCTAATTATTAATCTATGATCTGTGTTTTTTAACCGGTATACTAACAAGTATTTATATACAATTATAAATACTTGCTCTATAAAACGCAGCGTTTATAAAAAATATAGCGTTATATAAAATTAAATTCGTCTAGAAGAACTCAGATTTACTATAGTTAAGCAAAAATCATAGTTCGAAACCTTAACAGTACCAGAGTTTTCTGCCTTCTCCTTGAATTAGCACATTTTATTGTTGTTTTAAGAGATCAAAACAAGGTAGTTAAATAAAATTTTAATTTCCCGCAAACATCTAAAAACTTCCATTCACATAGTATTGTCTTCATCGGAAAAGCATTTCAAATGGCAGTCATCCATGCAACCAATCAGCCTGCGGGATTCGAACCAGGGTAGAATAACTAGCGTCTAGAGATCTTATCTATTCTGTCACTGAAGGGTAGAACCTTTTTCGACACTACGACCATAGCAACTTCTGCATCCTTTGTTCGTATATTTGAGCCATTGCGGTTATTGTCATATGATGTTTCTCAGTTCGGGAGCATTCATTTTCATCAGCAATAAATTACGAATTATTTAGTTAGGGTAAAGCACACGAGGACTACATGTCAAGGAAGGATGCTTGCGTGGAAGATTTTAATAAGGGAAAATGACTCGTATTCACGTTACACATGGGGAAAACCTCGAAAACTCCCATGCAATCAGCCCGTTCCCAAGGATTTGAACCCGAGGGCAGCTTCCAACATTCAACCGTTTTACCCTCGGCCAGGTCTACCAGCGGCCGAGCAGTGAAGTCGCTGCGAAGTGGTAGTTCGGTTGGGGTTTCGAATCTCGGCGAAAGGCCTGGCTGCATAGGCGTTTTCGTGGTTTTCCCCGTCTGTGACGTATACACGAGCCAGTTTCCCTTAGTCCACAGAGGCATAACTCCCCTTAGATAGATAGATAGCCCTAGAGTGCTTTGCCATAATCAAATAAAGCAAAACAATATATCGAGGTTCGAATCCCGCGAACGGGCTGGCTGCATGGGCGTTTTCGTGGTTTTCCCCATATGTAACGTGTATACGAGCCAGTTTTCCTTAGAAAGTCCTTCCCGAAGGTATCCCTTCCCTTAGGCAGATAGCCCTAGTATGCTTTGCCATAATTAAATAAACCAAAACCAAAACAATTTATCCTCGGCCGCTGAAGTGAGGGCTACAAGCTTAAGAAAGGGGACGAATTCATGAAAGACCTCAAAGATAACTGGCGTATGCTCACGTTACACATAGGGTAAACCATGAAAACTCCGCATTACCTGTCTTCGCCGTGAACAAGAACAAAGAAGTAACCAGCATTAATTAGTGTTATTCACTTGGCACAGATGAAGATAGTGCTTTAATTGATACCAAAAGACAATTTCTATTTCCTTCACGTGTTCCGAAATAATGGGTTCTGAAATGCTACTTGCACTGTCGCCAAATGTAAACTAAAACAATAAAAGTGTAAAGCATGAAGAATTAAATGGAATTTAAAGAGTAAAGCATGAAATCAATGCATTTGCATTTAGTTGTATGTTTAATCAATAATGATAATGAACGCGAGAGCCCTGTGCCTAAGGGGAAAATACATACATTCCTGGAGAATTTCACACGGAAAACGCCCCACCAATGGCCGAGTATTTGAGACTGCAGAATGCTGGTAGTTCGACCCGGTTCGAAGCCCGGCGAACAAGCTGGCTGCATTGCGTGTTTTCTGTGGCTTTTCCTACGTGTAATATAAATATAAGCCAGTTCTCCTTAGAAAGTCATCAATGAAGGTATCCCTATACTTAGGCAGATGGGCTTCGTGTGCTTTGCTGTATCCAAAGAATCTATCACAGGAAAATGGTTCGCATTCATATATTCATCAGCAACTAAAATTGTAATTCTAGGACCTATTGAAATAGATCAGGTTAAGTTAGGTTAGATTAGTTGATTAAGGCAAAGCCAGAAGGGCTATCTGCCTAACGGAAGTGTGTCTTAATGGAAGATTTTTTTAAAGGAAAACTCGTATTCACGTTTATCACAGGAAAAAACACAAAAACTCCCGTGCAGAATAACCTGTCCACCGATTTTTTTTAACACTGACAGAACTCGAACTTTGAACACAAGTGTTCAGCGACCTTACCGCTCGACCACTGGTGGGCTATTGTTGAAGCAGATAAGACCTATTAAAACTAAGTATACATTATCATTTTAACTACTGGCATCTATAAATAATTACCAATGAACTACGCACACTGCTTCAAAATATAAAATTACATAAGTATATAAAGTAAGGCCGGTTGAGAGTCGCCTGTGGATGAAAAGAGCCAGTGTATTCTTAAGCCAAACGAAAGAGCGAGATGCACGTATACTTCGAGACATAATACTCGTTGCAATCTCGATTTGCTTCCGTTATGAATATTATGTCATCATTCCTACATGATTCCACCCTCTTCTCTCTTCAAATATAAACTGTAGATGTAATTCACGGTTGCGTTACTTTGCGAAAAAGATATGCCTTTCATCAAGGCAAGAATATGCTAACATTTTCACTTTTTGTGAAATGATACGGAAGGGGAAGACGCTTAAAGAAACGCGTTAGAAGCAAGAAGTTTTATTTATTTTTTAAAAATGTTTTTTATGTTGCTAAAACCGGATATTTATAATTAAAGTTTCTCTATTCACAGTCCTTTTCAGTCTGTTCTAATAAAAAGGCAGTAATGAAACCTGGAAATGTATGTTAGATCATGAATCTGAAGAAATAAATATAGCTCAAACTTTCTCCATTAAGTAGTGCTTTTTAAAAATTTTATTTAAAATACAAAATATTTTCTTTGTTGTTGTTGCTGGTTATGCTTTTCATAGTTGATTTTATTTAAAATACAAAATATTTTCTTTGCTGTTGTTGCTGGTTATGCTTTTCATAGTTGATGTCACAGTAGCTAAATAAGCTTTTCCCACCAGTTTCTGAAATACAACATTTCGATTATTTATTAACAATATCGTTCAATCTTTAGTTTTTCTTCCTATTAAAATATACAGACTGATTCTCTCATTTAGAACAATATTTTGCAGTAGATTCTTGTCATTTAAAAATGCCTAGCTTGAATCGTTGCCCCATTTGTAACATCTTTGTAATAGTAGAAAAC